TTCGTGTAATTTAATGGTACCTTTTGTTTCTAACCTTTTTAATTTAATTGACCACTAACAACATGCAACTTAACTCTCCAGGGAAATTCAGATATTGCTACATAAAACTATCTGATACAACGTGCTGCGCCCATTTATAATAAACAGACGAATATCAATTGAACATATTTTATAACATTTTTATAGACAAAAAAACGCAAAATCTTCATATCAAAACTAATAAATCGATTATAGTAAGAAATTTACAATTTATGTTGATATTTGTATCTAATTAAAACTTGATAACAAAATAAAAGTATTGAAATAATTAGGTACATATTATAATATTATACATGGATATAAAGTTAATAATTATGTAAAATATTATACAAAAATATGAAACTATATTTCGGCACAATCGACGTTTTTCTATAATGATCTTACATTTAGAAAAAATAATGAATCCACTTTATTCAAAATAATAATATTGTAAAAATCGGGCGGTGTTATTAAAGAAAAAAACTGAACGAGTTCATAAGTACTTACATAGTATATAGATACAGAGGGCAGCATAGAACTTTTCAAGATGATTTCGTCTATAGTGAGTATACTTTTATTCGAGTACTCTATTATTATTGTTAAGTGTATTATATACATTTTATAACAACTTTATATCAATATTGTTCAATTGAAGTTGAATGTGTCAGACACTAGCTGCTTGTTATCAACGTAAAATCGTGAAATGTAGGTAGTCTTCTGTTGAAGATTTTATTTGAATCTGAAGGTTTTTTTCTTTTCATATATTATAATAAATAATGATATATTACTATTACATATCTTTGTTATATTACAATATTGATATTACAACTTCTCAAGTTCTTACTGAATACAAAATAATAAGGTAACGGTAAAAATAAGCGTATGCATGTAAACGTGTAACTCGATACCAGTGTGAAATTATCTTATATAGTACACATATATAGCATTACAATATTTATATACGTGGCATTTGTCGACAAATGGTATATATTTAACACTGATTGCAATGATATACTCGAAATTTAATAAAATATTCAGATTTAATATATCCACTGTCCTGGTTAATAATTATAATATAATATTATAGGTACGATAGCATATACGAATTAATTAGTTAAGAAACCACTTAAAATTGCATTGTTACACCAATTGTTGTACTTGCTTTATTCTCTTTTAACATATTATAGTTTAATACTAAATACTTTATTTACTATAATACGTACACTGTACCTATTTGAGGTCTACAGTAAACTGTTGAATTATGAATTGAAGAATTTAATTAAATTTAATATTACAATCTGTAAACGAATTATTTTAATTAATTAATACAGTTATTATATTCCGCGTGTTCTGACAACTAAGATGAAATATTTTAACGATTTAAAAATAACTATCGCGGAAAGTCGAAAGTCGTGTAATATTTCAAAATTGCATGGGGCATAAGCAGTAATATTTCATACGCCAATTGTAAAAAAAAACATTAATAGGTAGTTGGTCAACTCAGCCCTGAACTTTTACTTGAAAGATTATTACAAAATACTAAGTATATGTTTCGGATATATTGGCGTCTATTGGTTTATAAAGTTGTTATCTTGGTTACAAAGGCGTAGCTAATTCATGTTCATAATATTACAACACAAATATACGAGTACTAAGCGATTATATAGGTAAACCAAACGCACACACAAACACGCATTTAGTAAATACATACATTGACAAGTTAAATTCGTGTTCAAACAATGATCTCGCGAAGTCGTGAGTAAAAATTAAAATAATATAATATATATTATTTATATGCGAACTGTTTATATATATTTTGTTCTAGTGTTGAAAATATAATCCGAGGTACTTATATATCATTTTTCAGAATGAATATTGAATAGATTAATTCTTCATTAAAAATAGATAATTTATTATTGTAATTATACCAATGAATGATGAAATTGATTATAAATACAGAATACTTGTGTTTATAATCAATGATGGTGATTATGACATTTTTTGTTAACACTCAAATCAATTAAAACAAAAACTCATTAAAAATGCATTACTTAGTGATAAGTGATAGCTGATAATATTTAACTAAATGAAAATTTTATAGATTATATAGCTTCAAAATACTTGACTTATCTGTGCAGGACCAGATTATTTTATGATCTTCAATTAATCATTACATCTGTTTTAATATTACGTTTATCGCTATGACATATACTAATTTAAAGTATCAGCAAATGGGATAATGTTTATTCTATTACAATCTAAACCAAGTCACGTAACTAGAGAGCCCTTTGGTCCAGATGCAAACAAATACGTATGGGCTTCTGTTTTTTGAGCATCATAAAATTAATAGATATATAAAAAACCGGACGGACTTCACACCATGGGTATTGTTTACTCCTTAGATAGGATACCATTAATGTATATGTATTGAATTTTAAAGAACTGATAAATATTTTCCTCATTAAAATAATCAACAAATTTATTTATGTCACTCTAAGCTGAGTAATTTCCCCAATATTTATACATACAATTCCAAGTCAGAACGTACAGGCTTTTACATTTTCACTATATGAAATTAAATACAAAATAATAATAAAATTATTATGAATCAAATTAATGGGAAAATTAAAAACAAATAACATTTGTTGATCCGGTGGGCCTCGGTGCTGTGCACGCCTGCACCTATGATTTTTACGGCATTGGTCACGACGCCACAAGTGAATAGGTAGAGGATAACACATACTTTTTTGAAATTACGATAAATGCTATACAAATCTAACGCGTTTGGCGAGAATAAAGTTTAATTCGAAAGATGTTTTTGTATATACAATCTCGATAAAACATATTAATATTATTATATTATTTTGTGTATATTCAAAACGAACGCAAAACTAATTCTATAATTTCATCATCAGAAACTAAGTTACGCGCACGGATAGACATTATTATTATTATTATTATTATTACTGTTAAAGCCGCCACGAAACTATTGGTTTCCAATTTTTCCGTTCGGACAGGCGACCGAGTGGTGGCAGCAGTGTGCGAGTGAGGCTGCTGGGGGTGCGTGTGTTGCGCCGAGGTACTACTTATAAAGAGGTAGCCCGTTGTATGCGCACGTTACACAAGTATCACGCGCAAACCTGGACACAACTTTTTCCGCCGACAGAACATTACGATCAGTGAGTGGTGAAACACGGCGGTATAGAATAAATAAAATTTCGTTCCGTATACAGTAGTATATTCCGGTGTCGTGTTTTTATTTTTAAACCAACGTCTTACACACAAACATAGCCAGGTAAAAAAATTTTTTTAATATTAAATATTTGTTTTTCTCTGTGCGTTTTATCGAATAGATGGAAAATAAAATATATATTTTGATTCGAACCAGGGATTTAATTCAAAATATCTATACAATAACGACTAACATTATTTTATATAATATTGTACCTACCTACTAAATAAATATAAATGTAAAACGAACAAATAATTTTATAAACATCATAAATTCTTTCAATACTTTTTTTTATGATTAATATTTTTGTTTTGCATTCATTTTACGACCAAGTTAGTAATAACTAGTAAAAAATCAAATTTTATTTCGATAATAATATTTAATGGTATAATAACATTTTACTTATTAAAAATACATTATATTATACTTTGTTTTGATACATTACTGAAATACAGTAGATTTAATCTTTCTTAAAAATACTAACTGAATTTAATAATTTATATACATAAATATATATATATAGTCAAAATAAAACAAATGATGGGAGAATGTTCAAAAAAAAAATTAAAAATTAAAAACCCTTATATTGAAACACAATTTATATTTTTCTCAAAAATAAATAAATAAAATTGTAATGGCTCTTAATAATAATAATAATAATAATAATAGTAAAAAGTGAAGCTTAATAACCGAATGCACATGTACGTAACAAATGAAAATCAATAAATATAATTCAATATTGAATATACTGAATAGTACTGAAATTCATTATTTAGAACATATTCTGGAATTTTTATAGATTTCAACTTAACAATGGTACATGTTTTAAAATTGTATTAAGTACTTGAAAAGAAAATATTCAATAATTGATTCAAGTCATAAAATAAAAATAAGTACATCTTATACTAAAAGTTAATTTAACTAGTTTTTATAAAGTTTTTTTATTTTAATAAGCACTAAACGCTATATTATATAATAGATAAATGTACATTTTCATACACAAATTATAAAAAAGATATTTTTTAAATAAAACAACTCGTTAACTTTTATATAAGTAGTATAATTTATAATTATATATTATAATTGTCTTTTAATATTTGAAATATTTTATCAATGCAACGAAAAAAAAAAAATCTATAGTTAAAAGCAAAATACAATTAAATTTAAATTAAATAATACTTTAATACACCAATTGAAATAAAATGGCCTCAACCTAATTTTAAAACAATATTATTAATTGTGTTCAAATATAACTATAGCATTGTTTCTTATAACCTAAATAATCCATTGATTTTTTTCAATGCCAATTTTTGAAATCTCGGAATCACAACAAATGATAATACTGCAGCTATAAAGATAATATATAGGTACACATAATTGAAAAACTACAAATCAAAGAAGGTCGTTGAATAAATAAATTTCATGTTAGATCATCGAGATTTTTAAAACTAATATGCTCTATATTATAATATTATAAATTGAATAAAAATGTGTATTGATTTTGATGCATTTACATAGAATGAGAGGTTTCTTGATGTTAGCTAAATATAAACGACCTGCCTGTATTGTTTTAAATTATAAGTTATCTTTTAAATAATAATACCTATAGGTTGTTTATTAATTTATATCACAAAAACATATTTTTGAATTTATTAAAGTTAATTTAATATATTTTTTTTTTATATAAAATTAACTAAAACATATTTTGAAAAAATCTATACATTTAACATTGTAATTGATTTATTACAGAATGAAAACCATAATCTTGGGACTATGCCTGTTCGGAGCTCTCTTCTGGAGTACCCAATCCATGCCTGTTGGTGAAGTAGCACCAGCAGTACCTGCAGTACCATCTGAAGCAGTACCTCAAAAGCAAGTAGAAGCTAAACCAGAAACTAATGCAGCTTCTCCGGTGAGCGATGCTAAGCCCGAAAGCGATTCGAAACCTGTAGATGCGGAAGTCAAGCCTACTGTCAGCGAAGTTAAGGCTGAAAGCGAACCAAAACCTTCAGGTGAACCAAAACCCGAAAGCGATGCAAAGCCTGTTGTAGCCAGCGAGTCAAAACCAGAAAGCGACCCTAAACCCGCAGCTGTTGTAGAATCCAAACCAGAAAATGATGCGGTTGCACCAGAAACAAATAATGATGCTAAACCAGAAAACGCTGCAGCACCAGTAAGTGAAAATAAGCCAGCAACTGAACCCAAGACCGAAACTGAATTGATCGCCGAACCTAAGCCAGAATCCAAACCTGCCAGTGACTTAAAGGCTGAACCAGAAGCCGCTAAGCCTAACAGCGAGGTACCTGTAGCTCTACCGCTCAACCCAACTGAAACACAAGACGCAAAAGCAACCCAACAATCCATCGAGACCAATCAAGTTGAACAAGCAGCGCCTGTAGCTGCACAAGCAGATCCAGCTGCTGCTCCTGCTGCTGATCCCGCTCCTGCTCCCGCTGCCGCCCCAGTTGCTGCCGAAGAAGCCAAACTCTCTGAATCTGCTCCAGCAACTGAAAACAAAGCTGCCGAAGAACCATCCAAGCCAGCTGAGCAACAATCAGCCAAACCAGTGGAAGATGCTGTACCGGCAGCCAGTGAAATATCTGAGACCAAGGTATCACCCGCCGCACCCGCAGTACCTGAAGTACCTGCAGCCCCATCAGCACCTGCAGTTGCCGATCCAGTAGCTGCACCTGAAGCTGAAAAGAACGCTGAACCCGCAAAAGCAGCAAATTCCGCAGAACCAGCTGTTCAATCAGAAGCTAAACCTGCCGAAGATATCCAAAAATCAGGTGCTGTGGTATCCGCAGAAAACCCAAAGCCAGTTGAAGAACAGAAACCTGCCGAAGTAGCAAAACCAGCCGAACAAGCAAAATCTGAGGCACCAGCTGAAGCACCGAAACCGACAGAACAAAGTGCAGCGGAAGAACCAAAAAAGCCCGAATCTGCAAATGACGAAAAGAAGGAACAACACTCCGTAAACAAACGGGACGCGACCAAAGAAAAGAAGCCCACTGACTCAATTATGAAGAAACAAAAACAAAAGAAAGCCAACTAGGTAATCAAAAATGACAAGACTGAATAGCAATATAAACGAACCAACCACCAAAAGGACCAGAATAACGTCCAGAACAAATAAATAAAAATATTTGTCATACAAATTTAATATTAAAAAAATCATGTACGTCTATAGTGCCATTCCAAAAAAAAAAAATCATGAAACTGTGAAGTTCAGTTCTAATTAGACTTAATTAAAAAAAAATTTTATATATATATATAAATCATAACAATTTTTCACAATGGAAACAATTTGTAGTGAAATTAATTGCTATTTATTCAGTCATTCTTCTGTGTGATATCAATTTATAAATAATTTATTTATAGGCAACTTATTTATATTAATTTAAATGAACAAAAACATGAATACTATGTTAGTTTTAAGTTTCTATTTAGATATTAGGTTGTTAAATTATAGTATTTAACTATTTACACATTATGTACCTAATTTATTATACAATGACAGATTGTCATATATCAACAATAGAATATTATACGCGATTTCTTAAAATTGTGTTTTTTTTTATTTTAGTGTTTTATAAATCCTTTATTGATCTTTGATTTTTACAAAATAAAAATCAACAGATAATATACTAATTGGTATATAATTACTCACTCAATTCCATCTATATTACCATAGAAAAGTGTATGTATATAAGCAGATAAACATACCTAATAACAAAACATCCACAGGTATACGTAAGCGTGTGATATAAATGAGTGTATTATAAAGTATATTATGTGAATATATCTTATTTTATAAGTAACACACAACAGATTATAATTACTTAGAAAACGATTTAAGAAGGCGTTTTGAATAGGCAATTTAGGTGCACCCGGGTCGTCACTTAAAACAATAGTCTATGTTCCAATGAACAAGAGTAAAAAATAATACAACAAAATACGTCAAATAAATAATGAAAATGTGACCAACATTAATTTCATAGGTCACGGGATATACATGAATAATACAAATAACCTACCTTGGTTAATAAATTGGTTTTTATTGTTTTAATCCGTTGGGGGTAGATACAATGAAAACAATAATAATATGCTAAACCATTCAAACAATCCGAACGGTAATATGTTAAACTAAAAATAATTGTAATTTTGCTATGATGTGTGTGAAAATAAAAACAAAACAAACGGAACTCGTGAACGTGCACTGAACATTTATCAACTTTGTGCCTTTATAATTTAGTTGATGCCTATGGATTTCAATAATAGTGTATAATATTAGTGTAACAAAAGAAGTAGTCCATACGACTTATTCGATATTCAAAAATTTGGCTGTGGACATTATGACGTTAAAACATCGATCACCGCGCTGTCAACTTTTTGTCTTCGTAAAAAATATAAACAAATAATAACATACTCGCTAACACAATTATACAATATATACTAATACATAAATAGGTAGGTATAGTATACACTAACTATAATAAATGTTACCGTTATAATATGAGCACATGCATTTTTCAAATACCATAGAAAAGGCATAATATTATGATCAGATTATTAATAATAATAATTAGTATTTTTTATACTCAACCCCAGACAACATAATTATAATATTATTCCCAGCGGTCGATATTATGAACGTACCTATTGAAACACATTTCAAGCATGAGCATAAAAATGTATATTATGTATATACATACGGAGCACACGAATGGCTGATGTAACGTAATTATGTTAAACTAACCTAAGTGTGTTAAATCAGTGAGTAAGGCGTTTTAATGAACATTTTATTATAGCTGTAAAATAACATAGAATAACAGCCGTCTACGGCGGAGGTCAAACGGACCGGTTTTGAAATTGGACTTCAAGTTCAGAACTGGTTATTCACCTCTCTTGGCTGTCGCCGTCGCGTTTTTTTTTTTAAAGGAATTTTGTGCGTGCACCGCCCGCGGGTTGCCGACTGCCGTGAGATCACAGCAGGATCAGCATTATGGTCATTTTTTTTTCTTATCGCCTATTGCTGAAGCAATTCGTAAAACGTGAGATAATAAATTTCAATATTTGATTATAGTTCAAAGAGATTTTATCAACCAGATAAAATAATGAATGAGATCGTAAGCTTTACTTGGCGTTGGCTCAACTGCTCAAGTAGCCAATGTACAACACAAATTACAATTAAAGAAATGTTAATAGAATGCATATTTAAATACCAATTAAAATTATACAATTTTAAAAAACCAGTTCACCTATTCATATAAAAATAATATTAATACCTATCAATAACATAGGTAAAAATATAGAAAACGTTTTTATAAAAATATTATTTATTAAAAATCATAAAAAAAAAACCATTAAATTGAATAAATTAAATACAATAATGTATTTTATTAAAAAAATTTTTAATTTTCAAAATAATTTTACCTGATTTGTAAGCATTTGAAATAAGAGAACTCCAGCGGACCACCAATCTACTGCGTGACTATAATATGGTTCAGACTCTAAAACTTCTGGAGCTATAAAATAAAACTATATTTATTATGTACATTGTTTTTAAAAAATTTCAAATAACTAACCCATATACTGAGTAGTTCCACAAATAGTAGATGTATGACAGCCTTGTGGAAGCCATTTCGAAAGACCAAAATCAATCAACTGAAGATGACCATTATCGTCTAATAATATATTTTCTGGTTTTATATCTCTGTATATAACTCCGGCATTATGTAGAAAATCTGTAATAAAATATATTTAGTACAAAATATACTTAAGTAGTTAAGTGTAACAAAAATAATATAACTCAATTTAACATAATTTTACTTTTTAGTCATAACAGAAAATTGAAATTATTTGATATTTTATCAGTACCTACTCATCTTTTTTTTTCGTTCATGCTTAAAATAATTAACTCTAAAGTTGATAACCAATAGTATTAATTGTACAATTAGAACTTACAGGTTCATTAAAAAAAGGAAATTATTTTGTCTTTTACACCAAGCGTGCAAACAAGCATTTTTAATTTTATGACTTTAACTCAAATTTTGATTATTAAGTTGAAAGTATACGTCTTAAAGACCATTTTTTCAAATAAATAAATTGTATATACAATTTAAGAAGAGTATTCTTTTACATATCTTGTTTCAAACCAAAATCATATTTTTATCCACTATGAATTGTAATGCAAATTACTATTTTTTTTAATATTTATAAATCTAATTCAAAATTTAAATAAGTAATTTTGAGTTATTTAACTTTCTGTACTAAGGAATAAGGATAATGTAAAAAAGGGAGCTATGATGATTTAAAAATTATGGCAAGTAGGTAATATGACTATATCAACATTAAATCATTTTTAAGATTGTTTGAGTATAATTATACTACATAAAATATTTTATATTATTGTAAAAACAATTTTAAAAACTAAACATTAAGACTTTAGGTACTATACTAAGTGCTTAGATTTAAATTACTCAGCCACTACTCTTTCAAATTTTGATTTAAATACATCATTACATCAATATTTTCATAAAAATCATCTGTTTAACCATTTATTTGGTAATTCCTGTTTTAAAAAAAGAAGTTAGCATTGCCACAGGACACTCCATAAACGGTATAAAAAATTGTTAAGTACACTTTAAAATTCCAAAAATCAGAATTTGAATACATTTATTACTTGTAGAAAATATGGGAGTGATCAAGTTTAGTGACTAATAAACCTCAATAAACCTTGTATTTAACTATAAAATATTAAAATGGTAACGATTATCCTTTGATTAAACACTTTTAGTTATGTTATGGAGAGTATGTATGAGAAGAGTTATACATATTTGAACAATTAAAATAATTATTATCATCAATAGTTTTGTATATATAATATATAAGAATAATTTAATAAAATAAATAAAATAAACTTTTTAACACTAATTTAAATTAAGAAGTTTGTAGTATTTAGCAGTGGCGTAAATACAAATTATTTTCACTATGGGCGAATGTTGGCAATTTATCACTATTCAAGCATAGCACGACTAACATAGCCATAATACTATACATATTTTAGGAAGCTGGGTGGTTATAATTATGACTAGAGCGGGGATTTCTATGTAATTGCATATTTTTTTCCTTTCTTATTTTTGGATTTTTGTCAGTTATCTCCACAAATCATCATAATTTGTAAACTAATGGTGAAATTTTTTTTTGGATATTTCTGCATATTTAAATGTTTTTGCATATTTTGGCAAAATTCAAAATTTGTTGCATATTATTGAAGAGAAAATTCAAAAAAATGCATAAAATAATATTTTGTCAAGTAGAAAAATTAAAACTAAATTGTATAGGCACTTAATAATAATTTATATAAAGATAAAATAAATAATCGAATACAACGTAAACTTAATCGCTCTTGTTGTGTCAGTAAGTTGTTAATACTAAAAAGTGATGGTCATAAAAAAACTGGAAACTCAAAATATAACTTTACATCAACTTTACATACTTTTTTGCATATTTTCATGATTTTTACTGCATATTTTCATTATTTTTACTGCATATTATATGGCATATTTCAATACTTTTTAGTGCATGAAAATCCGAGCTCTAATAATGACATATACAATAAAAATAAAAATTGAGCAATTTGATTTTATAATTATGTAAAATTAATTTTTTAATTCTTTTTTAAAAAATATTGACAATTTCATATATATACTTTAATGTTATCCAACTGTGAGTTTAATATCAGTAATCAAAGCAAAGTCCTGACAATCATTTCCTTGTGGATTCCTCAAAAACGGTTTTAATCAACCGGCTAAATTAATCATGGTGAAAAACCGTAAATTGGCCCTTCAGTTTCACTATGGGCTCTGGCCTAGGGGGCGTCCCTCCTATACACGCCACTGGTATTTAGTACCAAATTACTTTTTGGGAATAAAAATCAGTAGCTTTTGGGTACTCTTAAATACTAAATATATAGAATTATATTACAATATTGTATAAAAAAAAGTATAACATTTTAGTGGTCTGATACATAATATATGTTAGAATAATATTGAATATCAAAGTACCTAATCCATGTTATTCTTAGTTCTAAGTTTTTGTTTCTTTGTTATTCTTAAAATGTCACACAATACATATATTATATGAGTCTAGTTTTATTATATTTATTCATAAAATATATTAATTAGTTAATTATTAAACAAGAAGAAACAAGTAGTAATTCAAAAGTTTTATTTAACTTAGGAGCCTGAAGAGTCAATATGGCGCCACTCTGGCATTTTAAAATTAAGAAGTTGGAATATTTTTCATATCATATAAATTAGGTATAAATATTATACCTGCTCCCCGCCACACATTTAAATGGTTACGTTTATTTTTCTATTAAGTGTTACATATATTTATAATATCCTAAATAAAGAAACATACAAGTTTGCATTTTGTTACTTTGAAAATTATGAAAAATTTATCAGTAGGGTCAGCATGTATAGTGGTATGACAAAAGAAGTATTTGTTGTCTGAAGGTCCATAATATGTTTGTTTAAAAAAAGTCAAAATATAATGCTATTATACTCTAAAAAATGTACAAACATTTTCATTCTTCCTATTTTTTTTGTATTCACAAATATTTGTGGAATATAATAATATGATAAATATTTATCATGATATATTTTAATAATGTGAATGTAAAATAATGTAGGTATAATATAAAAATACCTATTATAATAACTAATTCAGCAAAATATACACGACATAATTCTTCAGGTAGTGGTCCATATTTGTGTAATAGTTTCAATAATTCACCGCCTCCAACATACTCACTAACTAAAAATTATAAAAAATAATATTTATGTTTTGTCATAATAAACACAAAAACAGTATAAAATTCAGCAAGTATCAAATTCTAAAAACTAAAACAATATAAATTACAATTGCAACATAAGGTGTGTTTTGGCGGTGTAACCAGAGTTAACCGCTAGTAAACTGTTTACTGGTATCGTTTTCGCGATTACGGTCACTGTAACCAGGTAACTAATTTCGTGAACGAGTTTAGTGAATTTTGTAACCGTCGATTTCGACTTGGTAAGAAGGTTTACTGAGGTTCGGTTACTAAAAAGTTTATGATATCAAATGTTATCAAATATTTCAGTAAACAAAATGTTCAAGCAATTGTTTTGGCGTTCCAGGAAACGTTTTCTAACCGTATTCCATAACCATAAACTTATTTACTAAACAGTTTACTCAGCCAAAACACGCCTATAATATTTCAAAATAATTAACTCACCAATGAATAATTGATTTCTATTTTGCCAAAAAAATGGACAATTCACAATAAATGGATGATGACCACATAATGATTGAATTTGTACTTCATTCTTAACTTGTTGTACTGCATTTTCACATACAACCTATAAATTGTAAATACATTAAAATTATGCCGAAGAAATGGAATTACTTTTAATTTTTTTTAAATAGTCCAAAGTACATTAATTGTATTAACTATTTCTTTGAGTTACATATTGATAACTAAATGATTTAACAGTAAATTGAAAATTATTTTAATAATTAAAATTTTACACAATTACAATTCAATTTTAATTTAGTTACCGATGATTTTTCCAATATTTTCATAGCATATAAATCACCATTGGAATTCAATTTCTCAACTTTGTAGACTTTGCCAAATACACCATTACAAATTAGTTCTAAGCTCTGAAAATGTACATAATGTTAACTAAATCTAACTTTGAACACCCAAGAAATATAATACAGAACCAATATATTGTTAGAATCTATACTTAGTTATAGTTTATATTTTAATATTGGCTAATTCTAGTGTTTAAACAATGATAAAAGTTAATTAAGTTGAAAGTCAGTTATTAAAATTAATTGAAGTTATTTAAAAGCTATTGAATTAGTTTCAAAAATATTATCTAAAATGTTTAATAGAAGTTAGAATTAAAATGAAACAACTAATTTATTTGTTAGATAGGTACCTTAAATGAATATTCATTTATTTGGGATTTAATTTTAAAATCTGGTAAAAAAACTTGTTCTATCTGAGGAATAGGCCATACTGTTTTACTAGCTTTCAATCGATCAATAGTTGAGTCTTTCCACCTGCAAAAAACAAAATAAATAATATAAAATCATAATTCAAATTAAATATTTGTATTTTGTGATTTAGTAATTTACTCTAAATGATATTAAAATTTATAAATTTATTTTTTTTAGAGAGTTTAATACAAAGATGATTTTCAATTCAACAATCTAATTCAATAGCATAATAATCTATTAAAAATAACTTGCAATTTTCATATTTTTTAATATTCATACATTTGTATGGAATGTTAGAAAAATTGAAAGATTACAATACAAGGATGCCACATGGAATATATTTTGTGGCAAAATAATAGGCAAATCGATACCAGCTATTTTAATGCCATGCTGAATTAAAATAATTTATGTTATTATATAAGTCTAATGCCAAGTACACAGAAAAATAGTAAATTAGTATTCAACTTTAACATTACACTAATTTTACCAAACAATTAACAAATTGGCATAATAATATATATTAATAAAATAAAATATATTTTATTTTTAATTTGTATATTAAAAAATTATACATTTACCTATGTATATATTAGGTTTATATTCCATATTTGATGGGTCGTGTTTGTTATTTTTTTTTTTTTATTTTTTATAAAGGCATGTTTCAAGAATTTTTAGAACAAACATCAATATCCAGTTGTCTATTATGATGCTTCTATTATATAAAATAATATAATATAGGTATCAGATATATTTGTATAAATATCATTGTTAAAACAAATTAAAATATTCTCTTACTATTAGTTTGAAAAATACACTATTCACAATTGTACATAAAATGCTAAACTTACTTCTTTTTTGATTCTCTTGACCAAGGTCTGCAATCCATTTTTATAAATCATGTTAAAAGTAAAACATTGTATAAATAAAATTATAGGACTAGGTATACAAGTGAAAATATTAAAAACAAATTATCAATGTCATAAATAATTATAATAAAGAACAAATAGTCAATAGTTTGTAGATATGAGTATATGACTAGAATTGGCAATTAATTAATCAAACAACAAGTAATACAAGACTATTCAACAAGTGTAGGAATTAAATTGAAATAAAATATAATAATACATTGTATTAGTATGTTACAAGAATAGAAAAGGAACCTAATATTATTATATCTTAACTATTTAACTATAAAAACTAAGAATATCGTTATATAATACACATTTTTGATTAGTGTTCAGTTAACAATTTACAACCTTAGATAGCTGGTAGATGATGTAGATACCAAATGGTAGTATAGTGTTATAGACAAAACTAACTAAATGATAAATATTAATATAAATGACTTTATTATAGGAACACTATTAAAATTAATAATTAAAACAACATTATATTAAAATTAATAAGTAGCAGTAGTAATACCAAGACGCGGACGCCATCACGAGACAAAAACTGAATACAAAAACATACAGTGTTGCCAAGCTACATAATTGTCCCTACAGTACTCCCCGTCCAGAGACGGAGTCGTAGGATAACATGGTTGATAAAGTTTTAACATGATAATGATAATGATTTGATAAATAATAAAAAAAAAATATATACATACAAATGAAACAATATTTTGATTATAAGTTATAACATAACAAGAAAATTATAAATTTTATTATATTTGAAATGACACAGTAAGCTTACTCTTCTTATTCTGGTTAACTACTTCCATAGCATAGGAATGGTCGTGCTGAGTATCATCTTCATACGCCATGAATGCAGGTTTCAAACGATCAATGGATATGACTGTCGGCTTACCTTTAATATCTACTTTGTAATATTTGTCCATCCGTTCTAATACCATAAATGGACCATCATAGGGCATCTGGAGGGGTTTCTTCACTGCATCAACTCGAACGAAGACGTGAGATGTTTTCTGTAGGTCTGTTGATACAAATGTGCTCCTTGTAGATTTGTGTGAAACTTCTACAGGTTTGATTTTCTCAAACTTTTGTTTTAAATGTGACACGAACATATCTTCATCAGGTGTATTGATGTTACTTGTGAAAAATTCACCTGGAATCCGTAGTGATGTACCATATACTAAGTATGCGGCTGACACGTTAGTATCTTTTATTGCACACCGTAATCCTAATAGTACTGGTGTAAGTACTGCTACCCAATCAGATTTTGCATGTGCCTTTATGGATTGTTTGAGAGTTCTATGGAATCGTTCAATTTTTCCATTTGATTGAGGGTGGTAAGGCGTTGTCCTGATTCTATAAATTCCCAAAAGGTTTGTCAGTGATGCAAATAGTTTACTCTCAAATTGTCTGCCTTGATCTGTAACAATTTTGTTAGGTGCCCCAAAGCGAGCAACCCAACCAGAGTAGAATGTTTCTGCAATCGTTTCTGCTCTTATGTCTGGTATTGGGTAGACTTCTGGCCATGATGTATATCTGTCGATACAAGTAAGGCAGTATGTATTACCCTTTACTGGCGGAAGCGGACCGATTATGTCTATATGGACTTGTTGAAAACGTGCATCCGGTATGTCAAAATGCTGCACTGGACTCTTTGTGTGTCGTGAGATCTTTGCTTGTTGGCACTGAATGCACTGTTTTGCCCATTTCGCACAATCTTTTTTGATTCCCGGCCAAACAAAACGTTCCGTTACCATTTTAGTTGTGCCCCTTTGTCCTGGGTGTGCTAGTTCATGTACAGATTTAAATATTGTACGCCTGAAATTGATAGGTATGTATGGTCGTACATTATTTGTTGAAGTATCACAATAAATAAATGATGTTCCAGATCCGTATTTCAATTTTTTTAATTTCAAACTGGTAGTGCTATCTGCTTCAAGTAGGTGTTTGAGTTGTTCATCTGCTTCTTGATGTTCTTGTAATTTATTATAATCTATTGAATCTGGGAATTCAACTGCTTCAATTCTAGATAAAAAATCAGCTGGAATATTACTTTTTCCATTAATGTATTGAATATCAGTGGTGAATTGTCCAATAAAATCTAGTTGACGCACTTGTCTAGGTGTTGCTTTATTGTTCTTTTGACAAAATGAAAATATAAGAGGTTTGTGGTCTGTAAATATCGTAAAAGGTCTACCTTCTAACAAATGTCTGAACTGTTTAACACCCAAATACATAGAAAGTAACTCTCTATCGTAAGTGCTATATTTTTGTTGTGTATCTGAAAGTTTTTTTGAAAAATATGATATTGGTCTCCAATTATTTTCATCATCTTCTTTCTGTTGAAGTACTCCTCCAATTGCATAATTTGATGCATCAACTACTAATGCAATGGTAGAATTGGTACGTGGGTGTGTTAATGTTGCTGCATTAATTAGATCATCTTTACATAATAAAAATGATTGAATAGCTTCTTTACTCCAATTAATTGGTGTCTTATCATTTTTCTTGGATTGTTTTAAATAATCGTTCAGTACCCCTTGATTTTTGGCTGCATTTGGTAAGAAACGACGATAAAAATTTAACATGCCTAAAAATCGTCGAAGCTCCTTGACGGTCTTTGGTCTGTCATATTCTTGAATTGCTTTTACCCTTTCTGCTGCAGGTGTAGTACCGTCCATAGTAATGTCAAACCCTAGGAAACGCACCTTATTTTGGCCAAAAACACTCTTTTGAACATTAATATTTAAATTAAATTTAGAAAGTTGTTCGAATACCTTTCGTAAATGTACCTTATGTTGTTCCAAATTGTCTGATGCTATTAGGATGTCATCTATGTATACAAAACAGAATTCAAAACCCATAAAAACTTCGTTCACAAAACGTTGGAATGTTTGGGCTGCGTTTTTGAGTCCAAATGGCATTCGCACAAATTCGAATAGACCAAAAGGTGTTGTTATTGCTGTCTTTTGTATGTCATCAGCATTCACAGGTATTTGGTGATAAGCACGCTCTAAATCTAGGGTAGAAAATATTTTCTTACCAGCAAGTAACTGATTGAAGTCTTGAACATGTGGAATAGGATAACGATCTGGTGTAGTAATACCATTTAAACGTCTATAATCACCGCAGGGTCTCCATTCTTGGTTACTTTTTTTTACCATTTGTAATGGTGATGCCCAAGGACTATTAGATGGTCTGCAAATTCCCAAATTCATCATATTCTGGAATTGCTTCTTAGCTGCCAATAGTTTGTCTGGGGATAGTCTTCTAGGTTTTTCAAATACAGGGGGGCCTTGTGTTTCAATAAAATGTGATGTTTGATGTGTGGTTGTAGCTGTATATGCTTGTGGTATAGTCACTGTAGGAAACTCATGTAAAATGTCAGCAAAGTTATGATTGTCAGCATATGTTCTAATTGAACATACAACTGCATTTGATTGTATACCTACTGTTGATAACTTGGTAGTATTGTCAATTAATCTATGATTGCGAATATCAACTAAAAGGTTGAATTTATGCAAAAAATCAGCACCTATAATTGCCTTTTCAGTGTCAGCTAATATAAAAGACCACTGAAATAAACGTCGAAGGTTAAGATTAATTGTTAGTGTTCGTTCACCATAGGTATTTATTGTTGTGTTGTTTGCTGCAAATAATTTAAGATCATTAGTTTGTTTATTTTTGTGTTTACAAGGCAATATGGAAACATCAGATCCTGTATCAATTAAAAATTGTATATGAGAATCGTTGTCCTTGATCATAAGCCTTTTGCTGTTTGCTAGATTGTGATTTGATTGTTGTGTGGTTTGGCAGCTTTTTAAACCGATATCCGAGGCTGCCGTCTTGGATCGGTCTATTAGTTTCCCTCGTGTTGATTACCTTTAGAGATAGTATACTCACAAGGATCTACACACTTCCTGGCTTTTTTACCAAAATTATCATGGTAAAAACAATAACCGTTTTCGCCCATCCTCCATTTTCCATATCTTGCGCGTGAAACTGAACGTGATCGCGATGTTTTACTTGTGCTTAATGAACGGGATCGGTTGTCGTTTCGGTTGGCGGCGACTTTTAATTCGTTCACTTCTTTTACTAATGTTTTTAATATCTCTGTTGTTGATTCGGAAACTGTATTAACAATCATCCGTTGTTGGTCGATCTCAGAAATCTTGTCGGCGAGTCTGGCAAGCTCTTCAATTGTCCCAGTACTCATTGTTAGACAAGATTGTGTAGTTACCGGTAGTTGTTGTAACCATAACGTTTTAAGTAGTTGCGTGCTACATGCCATTCCTCCCAGTCTTTGCATTTCGTTTAGCAGCATTGACGGTCTCTTATCGCCTAAACGCATGTCTCCTAGAAGTCTGCGTAATTTTGATTCTTGACTATCGGTAAATAATTCGATGAGTCGATTTTTCAAAGTATTATATCTGTCGGTATCCGGGGGTTTTTGAATGATGTCAGACACCTGTGATAATATTTCAGTGTCAACTGCACCTACTATATGGTTATATTTTGTCAAATCGTTCGTAATTCCACCTAAATGGAATTGTGCCTCTACCTGTGCAAACCATATTGCCGGATCGCTCTTCCAAAATGGCGGCACTTTGACAGTAACACGATTAACGGTCGCAAAGGCTGGATAGTTGTTCGAGTTTGACGAATTGTTTGCGTTGGCGTTCGTATTTTCGTTTTCCATAATGTTCTTTACCGAGGTCACCAATTATAGTGTTATAGACAAAACTAACTAAATGATAAATATTAATATAAATGACTTTATTATAGGAACACTATTAAAATTAATAATTAAAACAACATTATATTAAAATTAATAAGTAGCAGTAGTAATACCAAGACGCGGACGCCATCACGAGACAAAAACTGAATACAAAAACATACAGTGTTGCCAAGCTACATAATTGTCCCTACAGTAGATCACGCACGTTGCCTTGATAAGTGATAACGATAATAACGTCAACATATTATCACAAAACCATTCATGATTCATTATTCACGCTAAATATCAAATAAGAGAATAGTCAATAGGTATTAGCCATTAGGTACATTCGCGATACAATCATACAGATACATAAGCTTTGTTTGTGGATTCTTTCAAGGTCTATTGCACGATATTCTATTAAATATTATTATTATACTTTTATGATTATCTCCAAACCTTGGGTTTCTTTCATAGTTCTGTCCATAGATAATAAAGATATTATCTTTATTATCTATGGTTCTGTCATTATACAATAATGAAAAATTAAAGATAGATAATAAAAATAATATTTTCCTTAAAGATGGTGGTTTCTTTACTATATTACTAAATAGCCAATATCCAATACCCAATGCACATAGATAGTCTCTAGAGGCCATACAATTAAAGCCGCAATCACACGGTCATTCGGTCATAGTAAAACGCGATAGTTGCTTTCGGGACAGCGTGCTGTCACCGTACGAACTCCACGATAGTTTCTATCATTGATTTACTAGCGAACATCAGTGTCGTATTTAGGGGAGGGAGGGGCGGAACATTTTTATGGGAGCTTTTTTTTTGAAAAATGAAAACAGATTTACAATGATTTAGGCAACAAAACGTTCTATTAATAAATTGATATAAAGCTATTCTTAATAGTTATTCTGTGTAATCAATCTCGCTTTCGTCGTCGCATACCAAAATCTATTTTTCTACATACATTTTCTATAACACACTATGGTTAATATTATACTATTATCATACTGTCAGTCAGTGGCGTGGTGAAAGGGGTTTTATGATGGCTAGGCGGCATGGTGGGATTTTATTGGTGCCTGGTGGTAACCAATAACGTAAAGCAAAAGTTAAAATATTTACGGTCACATAATAATTACATGTAGGTACTAAAATATATTATATTAAGGGGATAAAGAGTTGATATGTACTGAAATATATGCTGGTATAAATATATCATGGTTAATAAATGTTCAGCACGCCACTACTGTCATTACAAGAGGGCCGTACCTAATATCAAAAATGGTAAATTGTACAGGAGTGTTTTTAATATATAATAATTTAAAAACTAGTAGACTACAGTAATTTGTAAGTTATCTTCAGCCACATATAAGTATGAAAAATTTTATTCGAAAATTTCTTGTAAGTTCAATTTACCAAAAAATTGTATTTATTTATAAAAACAATAATGATTTTGAGATGAGGCCTTATTGCATTGATAATTTTACAAACTATTTAATATTTATACTTTTTTAATAATAATTATTAAATAATTACCGATGACAGTGTAATTATTATAAAATACCTACCCTTGTATTATATCTCCGCATTGGAGTCAGCAGTAGCGGATCCAGGGCTTAATTTTGGGAGGGGCAAGGAGGGCAAAAGTACAAAAAGATCCTAAACACAGTGTAAAACAAAGGAAAACTACAGAGATTGGGGGGGGGGGGCAAATGCCCCCTTGCCCTCCCCCTGAATCCGTCACTGGCAGTCAGTGGCAATCAAATTTATTTACCTATACACAATATACTCGTTCATTAGTCTAAATAATAATATTTATAATATAGTATATTATTAATCAATATAATATATGAAAACATTGAAAACTATATAGATCTCTATTCTCTGAACTTTATGTTAACACGTTCACAGACGGTTACTGCTATAGTAGTAATTTTGATTTTGATTTAATGGGTCACACAGCAATCTACAACTGATATTGAAGTAATTTACCAAACCAGACATTACGGCTCGTGCAGTAATATTTTCAATAATACTAAATGAAACTAGGCAGGTGACTGACCTGTTATGTTGAATCATGTTTGGGCACAGATAAATATAAAATTGTATTTTTGAATAATTTTTGTTGGTATTTTATTAATTTGAGTTATTTTTCTGAGGTAAATAAATAATATAAAAAGTGTAGTGAACTTGTTCCAAGAGGTACCTAATTGTTGGTAGTTAGGTCACAAAATAACACAGTTAGTCAAGTAGTCTGTGGTTTGGTACGGTGGTACTACACAAGCATAATTTTGGGAGGGAGGCTAGTTTGGGCTTGACCCCCCCACCACTAACAATCACCATCATGATTATATTGAAAAATAAAAAATGTAAAATAATAATTTTATTATAACGTTTATAATTTTATATACCTAATAAGTCATGTTTTCAAAATTGATCATAAATTTTTTTTTACCATGTTTATCCCATATTCCCACGACTCTTACCTATCTGTTACTATTAAGTATTTATATATTATATTGGTTTTTATTTTGTCACTTATATTGACTCTTATTTTATTTTATTTCCGATTGAGTTTATCTTATAGTTTTTAAGAATGTTCTAGAAACTTGTTTACCCCACCATTCCCCATGTCAAGCACTTACAAAGCTGAAGACACTATTATTAGTTATTACTTATTACTATATCTAAATAGTAAAAAAAAAGCGTATATCGCTCACCAAATTTGATTGTTGGTCGACATAGGTCAAGTTTATTATTTTAATCTAATTTTACCATTTCTAGTGGCTAAATTTTATATACTGATATGGATTGTGGAACTTTTTCTAATTAATGTCAGAACTCAGATAATATTAATAATGGTATTGCGTTTAAAAAATGGGTATTTTGTTACTTTGCCGGAGAGATCATCAATAAATTCAACTTTGCTGGTCATAGTTAAATATTACTTGCTACACTTCCATCACCAAACTAACTGAACAAAAGAAGCGACCGGTGAAATGTTTAAGCTAATAGAATTATACCAAAGTATTAGGCACATTGTACAATATAAATAATATGATAAAGGATAAACTTACTGGAAATTAAAGGCTATTGATACAAACTCATTCAAACATCTAATAATTACACTCATTTTGGTTGTGGTAGGTACTAATATACCTAAATAAAAATTAAAAAATCTACCAAGTAAGTAAGTTGCATAGGACGACCAAATTTATTGGTCATTTAAATTGAGTTTATATGCACTAACATGGCTTGGAAGTTTAGTTAAACACTTTCAAACATCTGACTACTGATCAGGTAACTGTAGTATGTTACTTATTTATCATGGATAATACGATACACCATACTACTACAGTAATATGTATGTACTCAATAACTTAGTAAAAGTAGAATATAACATTATAAGTCAGCACTAAATATAATACAATATATTAATTTATTTGATATAGGTACATATCATACAGGGTGAGTTTGTCTGAAACAACTTTTATAAGGAATACTCGTAATAAAAAAAAAATGATACTTCAATTTTCAAAACTATTTTATTTTAAATATAAATAATAAAAAACAGCATTTATAAATTAAATTGAATTTAAGAATACAGAGCTATCTTAAGCACAATCAGAAGTAAATTGTTGGAATTTTTTTAAATTTTAAACAAATGTGAAATACTATCTCCCACTAAATTAATCAGTCGCATTATAATTGGGTAACAAAATTATTTTTTTATAATTACTCTACTTTTGCTAATAATTCCGATTCTTTGAAAATTGTGTATGAATCGTCATCGTCTAATTGAATTGCAGTACCTCCATACTCTGGTAACAATACTCGGTCACCAACATTAACATCAATTGGTACAGGTTTTCCGTCCTAAAATAATAACAATAATTAGAAAATTAATCACATTTAGGATTCTATATAATTATTAACATAACAGTTGATGTACCTGATTTCTTGCACCGGGTCCTACAGCTATGACAGTTGCCTCACGAATTTTTTTCGAAGCACTTTCAGGCAACATTATACCTCCTTTGCTTTGCTTAACAGCATCCAAACGTTTGACCAAAACGCGATCAAAGAGTGGGCGGAACTTGGTTGCAATTGAAGCCTGTCGGAACAACTCAAAGTTAAGTGACAGACGCAACAAATAAAATTACAACATGGGACCCTACATATATAATATTAAGTGTGTGTGTTATAATTATATTATACAAGTGTGGTTGGAAGAGGAAGATCGAGGTTGGAATACTCGAAACAAAGACATGGGAAAGAATAGCGACAAAGAGTTGAAAGAATGAAATTACAAAAGGGAAGCAAGTAGAACTGCAGCAAAACAATTAAACGATTGAATACGCAAATAAGTGTCACATTGTGATGTGCCGAAATGGCGAAACCTGTGTGTGCGGTAACATTATGTTTGGCAATAATTTTCGGAATAATGCCGGACGAAATATTTAAATATATTATATGTTTTAATATCGATATGGACATCTTACCATTTTGATCGGATAGTGGCTCTAGTAGTTTCAAACGTAAAAAAAAAAAATCACGATTGACGAACGAAAATTGTAAGGGAAAGCTGTGAGCAAAATTTTTAATGAGAAATGAGAATATTTAATTTAGCCAATAGGTTAAAGTAAAACCATATTATCCATACGTAAAGTGCAAGGACGTTATCAGACCGTAGAAAAGAGTGAGGTTATAAAATATTTACATGGAATAAATTTTTCTGAAATTAAATCCTTTTTTCGTCAATAGATGTTTTGAATATAATTTAGGCGACAATGTTTATGGCTAATGAATTACAAAATAATTTCATTTGAGAAGCTAAAGATGTATCAAAAACAGAGCTATTTAAAAATAGTTAAACCAATTATTTTTTTGTTTCAACACGGTATCATCTGGAAGAAGTACTCAACGACTTTACTAGCGGCGGGCAATTTAGTGGTCCTTCAAATTTGAACTTTTCATGTCCGCCAGAAGAAATTGCAAATAAAAGAAAAAATGCGCAAGCTGTACTGGCTAGTTGGTAGACATTCCACACTAGACCTGGCAAACAAACGGCTTCTATATGTAGCTATTATCAAACCGATCTGGACTTATGGCATACAACTGTGGGGCTGTGCCAGCAAATCCTACCTCGAAGTCATTCAACGCTGTCAGAATATTTCCCTTCGTACCATTGTCGCAGCATACCGGTTCGACAGGAATGAAATCATCCATCGAGACTTGAATATACCATCCATCGAGGACGAAATTAAAAAGTTTGCCAATAAACATGCGAAAAAACTTGAGTTGCACCCAAATGCAACTGCTAAACAACTTCTTCACAATTCGCAAGACATTAGGCGCCTCAAACGTCTGAAGCCATATATGACTTAGTTTAGTTAACTTAGGCTAAGAAAAGGGGCTATCTCAGTGGAGGTACAACCCCAAACATGTTCTTGTATAATATATATATATAAGTAATTATTATTGTATAATACTACTTATGTATTAATGTTATTATACTGTATTCACCCACAATGTATTATATTTATAAAGACTTATGGTCGTTTAAATAAAGATGCCTTAGGCAGTTAAAAAAAAAAAAAAAAATTGAACTTTAAAATTTTGAATAAATAACATAGTTAATTGAAAATAGAGTGGGTACAGCTCGCCGATCTCGTCAAAATTGTAAGAAGCCTACATAGTTTTTAACTACCAGGCAAATTTTTTATTTTTATTTTTTCTGGTGTTTGGGGAGGTAGTGGCTATATATTATAATGCTGTATAGCCATTAATTATTATATTTTCCATTATGAGTGGAACAAAAAGATATACGTTTTTTATTTTGACACTTTTTCAGTTTTTTAATAGTAATAAATAATAATGATCCAAATGTCAACTTTGAGAGAGGTTTCTGGAAGAAAATTTGGATCTAGTTTGTAATTCGGTGGGGTAAAAGTAGGTAACAATTTCTCAATACATTTTTTGGAACGAATACAGTTTAGCTCCCAAGCGATTTTTTGGAATTTTTTTTTTTCAAAATGTGTGATTTTGCATGCCTTATTCGATGGTTTTTTCAAAAAAAGCCTGTCGAACTTATTTTGGAAGTTATGGTCAAAAAACATCAAAATGCTCAATTTGTCCAACAATCGTGTTTTTGAATTTAAAATACAAAAAAATTTAAGTTTTTAGAATATTTTTTTTTAGAAATGTTTGTATGTATATGCTCAACATTTTGGTGGAATAAGAATTTGCCTATCGTACTTACTTTTTACGTTATTGTAAATAAGCCACATGAAACTGGATTATAAAGTTATTTCAAATATTTGAATATTTGAGAAACACAAAATAGATTTTTTTGACTTTTTATTTTTCATTCGATGAATAATAACATAAATAAGTTTTTGGTGAAATCAGAACTAACTTATTTTTTGGTTTAGAAGAAATTCGTTTACACGTTGATCCCATCGTTGTTGTATTTATTTGGATCGTATAAATTAGCGGCTAAACGAAAAAATTCAATAACAGGGTCTAAACCTAACCAGGTCAAAAGTAATAAAAATAAAACCATGGGGGGGGGGGGGTATGGGTAAATTAATAGAACGATTACAAATTACAATGTCAAACCATTACCAGTACATAGTACATTACGATTACCTGTACATTTTGATTTTTTGTTACTTATTTTAATCTATATCTTTCAAACCAAAAAATATCACCGAAAACTTATTTATGTTATTACTCATCGAATGAAAAAAAATAAATTTTGAGTTTCTCAAATATGCAAATGTTTATAGTAACTTTATAATTCAGTTTTATGTGGTTTATGAACAATAACATAAAAAGTAAGTACGATAGGCAAATTCTGATTCCATCAAATTGTTGAGCATATAAATACAAACATTTAAAAAAAAAAAATTTTAAAATCTTAAATGTTTTGTATTTTAAATTCAAAAACACTATTTTCGAAAAAATTGAGCTTTTTGACCATAACTTCCAAAATAAGTTCGACCGGCTTTTTTTGAGAGAACCATAAAATTAGGCATGCAAAAACACACATTTTGAAAAATAAAATTCCAAAAAATCGCTTGGTAGCTAAGCTTCATTTATTCCTTTTTTTTTTAATTATCAGGAAAAAATATGAACATTTATGAAAATAGTAATATTATTATTACAGTAATTATTCAGTAACCGCAAGGTAACTAACAAGTTGGACAATGTTCATCTTTTGCTTGATGCTTGCATAATCATTTTTTGTGTATGATGATAGGTCATAGACCATATATCATTGAATTCAAATTTAACACATCCATAAATCCATTGACCATTATTTATAGTGACCCAATCGTCCCAATCAATGATGATAGGTACATACAAAGCAGTCGGTAAGTGTTGGAAAGGATAATGGTTACCTACCTACTTGCCACCTGTCTACCTATAGCCAACTTTTTCTTTCTTTCAGTGTTTAGTCATTCTGTCATCTGCTTGTATTTTGGAAAAACCTTATTTATAAATTATCGGAAGTTAGAACCATTTTAAATAATATTTTAGAAACAAAATTTAAAATAGTACAATATGAATTATTAATAATTGGAATTTGGAGTAGACCACGAGAATGAAAAAAAGTATTTAATATTTTAGAATAAAAATATAAATAAAAAGTATTTATTAAGTATTTAAAATACATTGGTCAAAAAGTATTTGAAATACAAAAAATGTATTTAAATAGTATTCGAATACTTAATAAGACTGTATATTTGTAGAAAAGTAGTAAACTCATAAGTGGTCATAAGTGGCAAGTGGCTTTCAAATGAATTGTAATAAATATAAATTTACATTATTATTTATAATATTGATTCACCAACACTTCAAATCAAATGCTATACAATTATGTATTAATATTTGAAGGGTTGCAGGGAAAAACAATCAGTCAAAAGAAAGAAAAAATCAAATAATTATAGTACCGTTTGGTTAGTTTCATAACGAATCAACACGTGAATCGAGTTATGGAAGAAAGATCATGGTCAATGATATAATACAGGTTTAAATATTATCATAACGGGAAAAAAAGACCAGAGTCCTACCTTAAAACTACAATACTGAACATTTTAGGAATATTGACTTATCGTTTTTCCCCATAACCCTTAATTTAATATACAGAATATATCAGTAAGACCAATAACTTTTGTTCTAATCAATATTAAAATTTTTTTTATATATATAATTTATAGTCACTTGAGCTACACGTATAATAATCTTTATTTTTTAATACTGAAAATTTTAAATTTAATTAAATTTTTTTTTGGATAAATTCAAAATAGCCAATTTGTAAATCTGATTATAAGAACAATTTTGATGCTAAAAAAATTGATTTATTAGAATTTTTTTAAATATCAATATTTATTTGATTAAATTAATTTGGAATGCAGTAACTTTTTTCAAAATATTATTTTTGGGAATTTTCTGACGTATATTCAGATACAACAATAATATTTCTTATATTATTTTCCAATCAGTAATCGTAAAATGCTCACAATTTATTGTAAGGTCTTCCTGTTACAATCTGTATTAGTAAAACTAGAAATAACATAAACAAAAATACATAATACATTTTGTTTTGTATTAGCACACTAACATGAACACATGATAATGGTTGATGATGTAAAATAATTACACAAAATAATATTCATATCATTTATTTCAAAAATAATAAAATTAAAAAAAAAACAATAATACATATATACATAATTAAGTCAATTTAAACTTGCCAATTGTTTAACACTTATTTTATTTCCATCCATACCATATTTTGTTCAATGAAGAAGTACACATTTTTTATTAAAACTATTGTTCTTTTTCAACTCTAGATAATTTAAAATATTACAAATATTAATTTCCCCATAAGTTAAAATGTACCCACATAAATACATTTTTAATCAATATTATAAAATTATATTATTGAAATATTTATATGTGGTATAAATAAAAATATAATGAAGCAAATAATTTAAATATTCAGGATGTCTTAAATTATTTAAATTTGATGCTAAGTATTAAAATGTATATCTCATATTAATTTGAAATGAATATATTTAGTTTTAATAGAAATAAATTGTTTAGGTAAAAATAAAACGAAATTGTTACAACCTTGTAAAAAGATTTTATGATTTAGAGTTAAAGTAATGAGAAGAACATAGACTATTTTAAAACACATTCAATATTCCTAAAAATTGTTTTCCAGAAAACCCACATATTAATTCACACATTAAAATTAAAATTACAAATATCTAAGTATTATTTTATTTTATGGGAAAATTTTCATTTACCTAACAACAAGGCACTATTCCATGCTCCACATACTACTTTGACGATTTTCCTTACATTGCATTTTAGCAATGGTGATAAATTACTCAAATTAATCATTCGGTCACAAGTTAATTGGTATGTCTCAATACCAAGCTGTTTGTGAGCATTCCACCCACAACCCCAAAGTATATTGTTCTTAGATAGAACCATTGAATGTCTTGCCCCCAAACTCACTTGTTCAATATCTGTCTCTTCTGGCCAATTTATCAGTACTGGTTCTGGAGCCATTATTATACCACCACTTTCTGTAAAAATGTTATAAATTAATTTTAATTTTTAAAATACATTTAAAACATCCAACATGATATTTCACCTGTTCTAATTATTTTGAATACCCTTATTAGTGCCGTAAACCAAATAAAGTCATACAAAACATTCAACCTTAAATTAGTTGATAATTAGTAACAATATATCAGATAGTAAAATGCTAAAAATAATCTGATTATAATGTTTAAATAAATTAAATAGTACATTATTTGCTAAAAAATGGTCAAATACTTAGTTATTTTGACATCAATTATTAAGATTTTAGCTATGAAAATACACATTACGTAACCACATTTTAGCTGATGTTTTGAACCACTGCCATAATATTATTACATATTATAATTGATTGACTAAATAATATTATATATTATTTATATTCAAAGTACAATTATTAATTTTTATTGGTACCATTTAATTAGTATAAATCTAGTACCTGGGGAATTTGAAATTCCTAGTTGCCCAGAATGATTCCAGCCCCACATGTATAGATCATTATACTCTGTAATTGCAGCAGTATGCCAACCGCCAGCAGAAGTATTAATCACTCGAATACCATCTAAAGATTTTAAAAGCCGTGGATAATCTTCTTCAACTAATTCACCATGACCTAATTGACCTCGGCTGCAAGTATTTTTGTACATTTTAAAATCTTTAATTTACTTATTTTATAATACTGGTGTAATTGCTTGCTAAATCTGATACAGTATAGAGTGTAATAAAACATAAAATATTAATCCTTACGTGTTAAAAATATCTTACCTACTGGATCCTTGTGTATATAAGCAACCAGTTTCCATTAAAATAACAATATGTTCAAAGCCACACACTACTTGAGTGACTTTGAATTTTGAATCGAATATTTTAGTAGGAATTGAATAAATTTCTAAAATAAAAACAACTTAAGATCAAATTTATAAAAAATAAATTTTGAAATTAATAAATACCATTATGTGTAACTGCTAGATGGATTGTATCACTACAGCATACATAATTTATAGATTGTTGGTTTTGATTTTTGGATACAGAGACTTGCTTTTCGCTTTGTAATATTGGAGTAATATCTTTCCACTTGCCATTACATTTTGAATACGACCAACATTTGCCAATTGAATCAAGAGCTAATATTTTTGATTCAGATGAAGAAATCTAAACATATTGATAACATAGAATAATTTTAATTAAATATTCAAAACTAAAAAGAATTAATGGCTTACAGATTTAAAAGGACCATATCCTAAATCATTCAATACTTCAAAATTGATTATTTTTTTGTTGATTAAGCCACTCGCAACAATTATACCAGAACCTTTAATTAAACATATACAATGTTTATTAATAAAAACAATTAAATTAATAATTAAATTGAATACTTGTCAAAATAGAAGCAGTACTCCAAGAAAAAGCCACTTGTAGAATTTCGCCATAATTTTCTTTGTCACCATGAGCATGAAAATCCATGTTGACATTCGATTCAATGTTCAATTGGTTGAACCCGTTAAATCCGCACCAAAACATACCCATGATGCTGTTTAAATATGAATCTAAGTCTGTTGTTGTATTGCAAGACATTACAATATAACAGAACATAAAATAATTTACTATTTTACAAAAAAAATGAATTTTATACGACTGGCATTTTGTTCATTTTTTGTTTTTTTTTTATTTATAATTTTTTTTGTATTTTTTTTAAAATTTTTTTTTTGTATGTATATTTAATATATTTATTTATATATATATATATTTTAATTTGAAGATTTATATCATATGAACACATAAGTAATTAGGCAACAGTTGGATGAAGAAGCCTTAATTTTTTCTGATCATTTTCTTCACTTTCATCATCAGCACAACATTTATTTGATACTGGACTAGTCAGGGAATCCCCCGATTCGATAGTGGAATGTCTGGCATCAGTTAGTAATAAAGATTCTTTTCCAATATTAATATTTTCTTTGGTTTCATTTTCGGTTAATATAGAATGATTTTCTTTTGAGGTTGACAGAAGAGTATTAACTAGGTTATTTGATTTATTTTCAGATGATGGACTCATACGAGATTCTACAGATCCCAAGACAAAAATGTCATCATTCGACAATAGGGCTTTTTTTATTATATTATCATCAGTTTCATCTTCAATACTACGTTTTCTAGATGTAGGACTCTTTTGTGATTCTTCCACTAATTCTGACACAGAATGTCTACCCTCGGTCGATAATCGTGCAATAATTTTACTACCAACAGTATTTGGAATAGCTTTTTCTTTTTTTAACTCATCAGGTACATAATCTCTCAAGTCTTTTCTTTTTAAATGATTAACTTGTATATCCATTCCAGGTTTGAAAATGGTATGAGCTCTACTTTTCACCAATAAACAGAAATCACGGATATGAGTACTAAAATCCAAATTAACCACTGTGCCATTAGACTTAGATATTTCTAGACCAACAAACCAAACTGATGATGGCCTTCCTTGTGATTTATCATGAGGTAATACAAACTGGTCAGGATTTAAATGAGATCTTTGGACACATTCAATTTCTTCTAAAGATGTAGGCAAAAAACGAAGCCTTGATTCAACTAACCCTCTCCATTCAAGTAATTCTTCATCACAGTTTGCAAACACAGTTATGGCCAAAAAATATCTATATTTTGTGAAAAATTTAGATGGTTGAAAAATTTTTGACCAACTAGATTCTCCAGTTAAAATTTCTCCCATAATGTCTAGACTTGTTTTAAATTCATCTTGTATAATAGCTAGTGTGGAATGAGAAACATTAAAAGTTGAATTTTGTTGAGGATAAACTGGAGTTATAATAGGCATAACATGATTACGATCGGCCATATTTACTCTTGGGTCCCAAACTGGATATCCGAGATCCATAAAATATGATGGTTTTAATAAGACAGGCTGAGGCCATTGCCACTTGGAAAATATTAAAAAAAACTTGTGTATCAAAGTGGCTGGTGCTGCATTTGGATATAACTGACATACTCTTGCTACTAACATTGCCCAAGAAACCCCTCCAAGGTATCCTAAAGCATTTGAGTAAACTCTATGACGTTTAGCCCACAATTTTATTGCAATTAATGTTTTCTTGAACGATTCTCGATTTGGAACTAATCGTAAAATAGAATCTGTAACACGACATCCATTTAAACTTCGTACACATTTTGGATTCAAATTCCTCAGCAGATCATCCTGTTGCAAATCAGTATCTTCATGTACTTCTTTTAAAGCAAGACGAGCAAACAACATATCAATTTCAATGCCTTGTATTATCATTTTGATTACAGGAACAAAAGCTTCTTCAACAGCTCGAACATTGTTTATGCTAGGATTTTCTTTCAACTTATTATAAAATGTTGCAAAGTAATCAGTTCTGGTTATATGCCTTGGGACAATGACAATGGCATCAATATCAGCACCTTTATGATAAACGCCAAGACGATAGGATCCAAATGTGCATACTAATCCTCCAACATTTTCAGCAGTTATTTCGGGTAAATTTCTTTCCATACTAACTTCACGTATCCACTCTTTAGCCAAATTATTAAGCATTGATAATACTTCAAGCCTTTGAGATAAATCTTCATCAGTAGTAATAACTTTTTCTCTTGAAAGAGCATCATCTAATGATTTTGTTAACTGTATATCAATGTCTGTCGGAAGAGCATCACTTATTGCCGATGTCATTCCATACATTTTAAAGGGCTTTTAGGAATACTCTATTTAAAAATAAAAATAACTATTTTAAATTTTAATAGTTTAAATTACCAGTTAATATATAAAATAAATACTTGATTTACAATATCTAATACAAATTATGGTCAAAAAAAAAAAAAATATCAGTCTACTACATAGTTTAAAATAAAAATGTAACACTTATTTAGACACTAGATACCTATATTTTATTCACGATCTCTGGGACACGCTGGTTTTTGGTACTTATTTTTATCTGATTGAATAAAGTGTATCTTGATTAAATCCTAAAATAAAAATAAAAAATAGATAATAAACATTCAATTTGTTAATACTAATTAATGAATATAAAATAAAATAGTGCATTTGTAAATAGCAATAAACCTAAATTTAAATAATTTTGTTTTTATGACTATATCTGTTCAATAAATAAATCTGCTTTACATTAATTATTAAGTTTCAGAACAAAACACTCAAACTAAGGCTCGGTACATTAGTTGCTTTTGATTTATAGCAAATTAAAGTAGAGTTCATTCTATACAATGAACACAATAAAAACAAAAATGTTAAATACATGTATCTATTGTCAAAGTGATAATAAAAAGTGCATTCTAGGATTCAAAATTCTGACTTTGTTATGCCTAGTTACATACTTCAAAACAAGAAAAAAGGAGAAATAGAAGTTTATTGTACAGAAGTTAATTGTTTTGTAAATGCTTTTCTTCATCGTCAAAATTTTGGTGGCAATACTCTAAATCACAAACTTTAAAATGTTATAATTTTGAAAATAAGTCCAACCGATAATTTTTTATTGTACCATTCTTAACTTGTTAAAATACTTAAGTTTTTTAAAAAAATTTTGCCTGGGAGCTAAACTGCATTAATGCCTGAAATTTACAATCAATGGTATCGCATATTGTAATAATAAGACAAATTTGACCAAGCTATATTTACTGTTCAATGTAAGTACCTATATTAATTTATTAATTAATTGACTTGCTAGGTTTATTAAAATTTTTTTTTTTTTGATAAATAGTTGCAACACAGGATAATCTTGGCAGTACTTACTTACAATAATAGTAAACCAAACTTCACAAATCAAAAATTTAAGACTTAACACCAATTAAAAATCTTAAAATAAGAGTTCTAGGTAATTCAATATTTTTATTTAGTCTTTTTTTTAAAAAATTGTATATTGACAAAAGATTAAGCTTAAAAGCTCTGTCAAACAGAACGCGTTATAACGATAAATGGCTCGGCTAAAGTGCACTTTACCACCCCATGCATATTTTTCGATTTTTTTTTTTTTGTAACTTATGTAACCCATCGAGTTAAGAACGATGGTGCAATCAGAATTTGTCGCTATCACTTAGTTTTGAAGTTATGGCCCTTGGAAGTAAGCAATTTGGGTTTTTTTTACGCATGAACGCAACGCTACGTGGTTATGTCTTTCGCAATTTTTTTTTTTTTTATTCGTGAGACTTATTATATTAATGAAATTATTAATGAGTACCTATTACTTATTTTTAAGCCTAGCTACGTATGGCACAATCCAGAGCACAATCTTTTAATTTTGGACTTACAAATATTAGAACACACAATTACTAAACTGTTAAATTTTAATTAAATTATACCTATGCTTCCATACTAAATAAAAAATAAACGAGTGAACAAACACGGGACTAAGAGAGGTTAATTTCACTAGAAAGCAGCACTTGCCGTAATGACATTTTAATTGTGTATTAAAATATAGGTTCTTTGATAATATAATATAATCTAAAATTGTATTTATAATTGAATAGGTAGGTAGGTACCTACTATAGGTATAATGCGAGAATTCATTTAAACCAGATTGACTATTTCTACTTCCAGCAGAGGAATATTTTTAATTGTCCGAGCGAGCGTAGAGGGCGAGTGACCCCACTACGTGACTCGGTGAAACAAAAATGCAATTTTCTTAACCCTATGACCCACTTGGGGAGGTGTTTCATAGCAAATCGAGGATAAATTATTATTGCACCATCGTTTTAAACAGGTTAGAATACGTAAGTACAAAAAAATAACAAAAATAGTCCTCCACGCGGCGCCCGGCATTATAGTAGAGTCACGCGCATGCGTATAAATGTAAAATTGAAAACTTTGGAAAGCCATAACTTCGAAACTAAGTGAGAGCGACAAATTCTGATTGCACCATCGTTCTTAACTCGATGAGCTACATAAGTCCTCCTCAAAAAAATCAAAAAATTTGCATGGGGTGGTAAAGTGCACTTGTTCCTCATTGGCTCGTCGGCGTGGTGGTTTCACGTGAATAACGCCGCGTTGTAACAAATTACAAAATCAAGCGACATGAAAATAACGCTTTCGGTTTGACAGTCTTTATAGAAAATTGGTGCTTAAATTGGTAATATAAGTATTAATTTAAGTTACCAGACATTGTAAGAACGGCCCTAAAAATATTATATTAATCAATAAATAGGTAAGCAAAAACAACATATTATTTTTAGTAGGTACAAAAACATGCATTCAAAATCACATAAATGACCTAAATTAACTAATTTTGGTAAAGTAATCAAATATTATATAATGTACCAAGTACTATGGTATTCATTTACACTTAACTATGAAATATAATATTAACTACTAATTCTTGAAAAAAATTATATGGGTTCAATAATCATCAATATTACCCAAATAAATAAGTTTTTAATTTCATTAAAATTACATAAATAGTTTTAAATTTGTTCAAAACAAGGATTTAATTAGTATAGTGTCTAGTGTCAACAATCTACATTCTATATTTCTATACCTCACGTCCTCAATTCATGATTATGAATTATAAACATAATATTGGCACCCGACCTAGGTGTACACACGACCAGTGCTTACGAATAATAATGTGGTATTAAATCCAAGAATATTAATAGGTCGATAATCGATATGGTACCAGTTTAGATCTCATTCAATCGAAGTGGAATTACAGACGTCACATCACGTAATCACGATAAAGAGTTAAATAAAACGCTGTTGTTGGTATGTTATTGTGAACAACAATCGTCTTGGTGAATTTACTTGGTACGTCTTAACACACGAACTACGTAAATACTAAATAAGTACCAAGCGATTCGTTTTCGATAAGACGCATGTAAACTCACGGGTCACGGACGGCTTTTGATCGCTTTGTCTCACAAGTGTACGTACATGCTAATATCCTATACATCTACCTACAAACAAATGAACACAACAATGACAACACACACACACACACACATTTGACACTATACACGGGCGGAATGTTGAAATGAATAATGACACGAGCACGGCATTTCGAGAACAAAACACGAGCTCGCGTGAAAAGTACTTACATGATACACGGTTCGGCGACCATCGGACGAACACGAAAACGAAGTACACTGTTGTACACAACCTGTACGTCTTGTCTTCGATCTTTTTTCTATGTCTTGTATACTAAACTACGATCAATACGATAATATCGCTAGAGAAACAAAAAGTCAAAACTAAAAAAACTGGAACAATAACAACAATATCAGAACGAAAACAACGGCAAAAACATAAAATAAAAAGAGCGTCCCTGCGCGCCACACGACAACCGGTGGTACGCAATGAACACTGAAAAACGCGTACACCACAACACCAAAACAACACTGTGTACTGATTGGCAGACGGTGTCCCGGAGCTGCGGCGCCGTCCACGCGATTCGTTCGGTTTTTTCGGAGAGAGAAAAAGAGACGTGGCCGACGTCCTTCCGCACCGCTTCGCAGAACGTTCTTCTTTCTTCTATGGGAAATTGGAAACGGCAAACAAAACGCTTCGTCGGATCACGATAATATATTTTCATGCACAAAATGATATAATTATTATACGAGTTCACGACGACGAAAAATAATAAATAAATGTAGGTTTCCACGGCCGCCGTTGTAGTCGTAGACACGCCCACGAATAAACAGTGCGACCGCGTACAACTGCATACCGCGATTCTGCGCCGAACGGACTCCTCATTCGCAGATCCCGGCGAGCTGCGGCGCCTTTCATCCCGGCGTATTTCGTAGTATTCTGTGATATATACAAATATATATATATTAAAAACAATGAATAATATGAAGTGAATGGTAACCCTGCATGGTGGCTTTTTTTTTAAAGCCAAAGAGAATATATAAAGATATATTATCTACGCATATTAATTAATAATCGATCTGTGATTATTATTGTCATTATTTTTTTTTTTATCTATACAATTTATATACAAAAATATACTTTGTTATGTACTACAACTACAACTACAATCAACAGACTACGATTAAAAAACAATATTATCATTTTTAATCGTGCAACGGTGCAACAGACTAATCGCGAATGTATTTATTTTTTTCGTATTAATTATATGATTTTAACATTTTACTCAACAAAAGAAATCCTTTTTAAAACCTTGAATTTCGATTAGTCATATTATATGTACGAGTTAATTATTATCTATTATAAATGCGGTCATGATTACTTTATTTGAATTTCTGACGTTTCAATCAACTGTTCTACGTTTCGTTAATCGATATTGGTTTGCCTTATGCTGATTAATTTTATTAAAAATAATTTTTCAAAATGGGAATGTTATTTGGAAAACCAAAAGCCACTCGTATTACCGACCACGATCGAGCAGTTCTGGTAATAATAATGAATAATATTATGTACTCAGTCTTTGTTTTGTTTATCTACACTCTACATCATATATTGAAATGTACTTGACATTTATGTACAGTGTTTTTAAGGCTATTAATTAAATTTTTTAGCAAATGAAACAACAGAGAGATACTCTAAAGCGATACCAACAAAGAGTGGAAAAGTTACTAGAAAGTGAAAGAGAACTCGCTAAAAGACTACTGTCCGAAAACAAAAGAGAGTATGTCTAAAATAATTTATTATTAAATTTAAGCCTACCCAAGTGTAACATTTTTGAAGTTGTTAAAGAAATAGTTTTTTAATTAAACTGAATACTGAGAATATTTGTTGAACAAATGAATTTTTAATTGGTTTCAATATAATATAAAACCAAAAAGTTCATAGTGGCGAATCCAGAAGAGTGATTCAATAGTAGAGGAAAAAATTAATTTATCTGTCCAAGAAGGGGGGGGGGGTATATCTGTTTGTTCAATTATCAATCTCTGCTCTGACTATTTAATAATTATGATGTTCATCGTTATAGAAAAGCAAAGCTATTGCTGAGAAAAAAGAAATACCAAACAGAGCAGCTTGAACGTACTGAAGCGTCTTTGGACACAATTGAAAAATTAATTCAAGATTTAGAATATACCCAAATAGAAATCAAAGTATTAACTCAAAATATTAATTTACAGTTTCTACAATATATTTAATTCAATCAATTATGTACAGGTTATTGAAGGCCTTAAAGTTGGAAATGTAGCCCTCAAAAAAGCGAATGAATTGTTTAATATTGAACATATTGAGCAACTTTTGGATGAAACTAAAGAGGGAATCGATAAACAAAAAGTAAATATTATTATATCTAATCATATTATTTAAATAATTAACTTAATAAAATAATTTTTCAAATAGGAAATTACCGATTTACTTAGTGGCGCCTTGTCATCTGAGGATGAAGAATCAGTTGAAGCTGAATTAAATGAACTAATTGCTGTTGAGCATCAAAAAGCAATAGATTTGTTACCAACAGTACCATCGGATGAATTACCATTAACTGTTCCAGGTAATTATAAAGTTAAAATATTTTATTTAATACAAAATACTTAAATATATTTTTCACGATTTAGAGACCAAAGAAGAAGACAAATTGCCTACAAAGAAAATTGCGTTAGAAGCTCAATAAAATTAATCATAATATTCGGTTAAAATGTTACCGAATTAAAGTAGGAGTCAATTTATTTTTAACATATTAAAATTTTTATTTTTTGTTATTGTATATTATAATATTAAAAAGTTGTATGTAATGTTTAATATACATATTTTTTTTAAAGTTTATTCATTGTTCAATAAGAGTTATACTATAGGAAAGTCAAACTTTAGTAGTCAACAATACAATTTTGGTTGTGTTCTAATATAATTTATATTAATAATGTCACTGTACACATATTTTACGTTGTTTATTACAAAAATCGACACACGTGTCGTATGCTATCTACCAAGAAAATCATAGCTACAAAAATCTACGCATACCTACATGTAATAAATCATATATATATATATAAAAAATCTACAAACTCAAGTTACTCACCTGCTCAATGGCTGTTAGTTCACAGTTGTCCTATTTTAAATAGCTTGTTTGTTAACAGTTGTTCATACTTTTATTATTTTTTTTACAAAAATTTTATTTTTTACATCTTGAAAAAAACATTCAAAAACATTTTTTTGATTGACGGATTGTCTTTTGATGGTCTTCAATTGAAGATTGGTCGCTCCACGAGCTCTGATTCCATACTTTACTTTAATGTGTTTCCATAAGCATTCAATAGTTTGTGTTTGAGAACCTGCACGTGGATCTATAAAGTGTTTGGTGAAGAAAACTATGTTCTTTAAGAGTACTGTAAACTCTCCATTTATCTGAATAAATTGTGGTTTCAGGTTCTATTTCTTGGAAAATTATGGGAAGTTATGTTTCACAATCTCTTTTATCAACTATAAAATAACGGCGCTCCAAAATATTATGTTGACGCAAGCAGCACATACCAAACACCCAAGGTCCTTGAACGCTATTCCGTAATTTCTGTTTTGATTTTCAATATTTTGATTTTCATCATCAGAATCGTTGGTAGATAGCATACGACACGTGTGCCCAAAAATCATATCAAAATATTTTGAATTAGTTTATGGTAATTCTTTAGTGTATGCTTGTTTTAATTTTAAATCCACAGTTTAAAGTTGAATTGTTTTAAAAACTTTTAAAGTCTTACAATACCTAATCCTTTGATATTTAATTTTATGCTAATTGCAATGATTGTTTTATTTAAAAAATTTTCCCAAGAGGATGGTTTCGACAAGGGGGACATAATCAATGTATGCCTCTACTCACATGTCACCATACACAAGAAGGCACTATGCCCCGCATGCAAGTTGGCAGTGATTAAATTGTGTCGTAATCTGTGCACCCCTTCATGGTTTGCCGTGCGACTAGGTGAGAGAAATTAGACCTCATGTTTTTGTTTGAATGCAATCTCTAGGTGTGGAGTATGTATTCAGTCTGGTTAACACGTTACTAAGTCTATCAAATAGTTGAAAATATTAAACTACTTAATTGTGTGGTTAGATGTTTATTAATGACTAGTGAAACCTTGACATTTATATTAAGGTATAAGCGATAACCCGTTGTTCCATACCCTGTGCCACCTGACAGTGGATTATGAACGTATTAGTATGAACATATGCTAGATAATAAACTACTCGATGAACAGGAAAAGTTTAAATCGATCAAATTCGCCTAATATATATTTTGACATTGACTTAATTTTATTGACAAAAACTATGATAAAATATTGAAATTTTGATACATACATTAAAATATTTTTTATTTTATTGAAGACATTTTTTAAGAATGTAGCAATTATTAGTAAATAAATTTCCAATAAAAATCAATACGTTATTATTAAAAATCTTGATACGTTTATTAATAGTTTTAACTATCGAGAGTGTAAAATCCAAAATTGTATACAATGGTTTCAGATTTTTTAAGTATAAAATAAAAACTAACTTAAACAAATAATTATAATACACATTAAGCATACACGTCTTCACGGTCAGCACCAACTCCGTCTCCATCTTCTAAAGACGAGAAATTCAAGAAATGGGCGGGCCTATGAATCTCATGATAAAATTCTTTTGGATTGGCTAATTGCAATTCATACTTCATGTTTGCGTCATGTCTAACACCTAAAATTTGAATAAAAAACATTTATTAGTGGATTCTCAGACATTTATATAATATTAAACAGTCATGATTCATGATCATATTTATAAATGTAACATTCGTGCAAGTAGTTAGGAGTTAATGGCTTTTAATTTTTATGAATTGTAGTATTTAATATTTATTATATTATTTACCCATAAAATTATAGTTCCATGATCCTTGTGCTGGAACCATGAAGAAACCAAGGAATCTGTCAGACAACAGCATTTGTACTTTTTCATAATGGCTAGGCAAGTATCCTTTGGGATTGTTACCTTTGTCAGTATTTTGTCGTCCCCATTCAAAACCACTAAATTTAAAATAAATTTAAAGATTAAAATTTGAAAAGTTCAGGAATTTAATGATTATTTTTACCTTGGAGTCAATTTATAAGCTGTCAATGAGCATGAGCCTGGGGTAAAACTGCAAGTTATTATTACAGTTTTTTCTCCATCCCACGTTGAGTTATCAGACATAATTTTGGCATGGGTGCTTATATCCTAAAATATAAATTATGTTATTTTAAATGATTTAAAAAATCTTTTTAAAAATTTGAATTTACTTGTGGCGATAGTTGAGGTAATTCATTAGGCTGTGTATGTATCCAACCAAGTGGTTCCATGTCATTGAGATAGTGATGGTTATTGGGTAATTGTGATGGTACGTGTATAGTTTGATGTGTTCCCCACTGTGGCGGCATCACTAGGCAACGGATTTCTTTCACTTGAGGGTTATCAGGAGGACTCACACCATATAAGTATGCACAAATCTAAAATAGTTGAAACATGATTATTAATTGCTAATATTAAATAGTAATACTGTAAATGTTAGCACAGTATTTGCTTAAAATAATTCAATATACCTGAGCACGAAGATCAGAAATAGTGACAAACTTTTTGAGTATGTTCTTTGGTAATATATATGTGTAACCAGTTTCTTTAATGTCATCAGACGATACATATATATGATTAGTACGTAAATGAAGATTTGTTGCAGATATTGCACGAACTCTCCATTCAGTCTTGGAGCTGAAAATAATATCACGGATTTATAATTTTAAAAATTTTAAAATCATGATTTAACTTAAAAATAATACCTGAAAGTTTGAGTTTCATAATTGGAAGTAGTTGAAGTAATAATATCATCTCCATGTTTATTCACTGTTCTGGTTGTGGTTGCTGTTAATTGCGATTGTTCTTTAGTTTGTTTCTCGATCTCGGCAATTTGCTGTCTTTGTGCTGATGGTGCACTAATTTCCATTCCCAAAATAATATCACGAATTTCTGATTGTGTTAAAGATGCAACATTCACACTATGATAAGGCAATTGTTAAATTAGTTTTTTGTCAACATTTTTTTAAATATAATCCTAACTATACATACTTATTTTTCTTTCCATAGTCAGCTAAAATCAAATCCTTCAGTTGAACTTCAACCTTAATCCATTCATCATCACTGAGGGTGGGCCAAATGTGATGTGGCTCAGTTATAGTTGTTTTGTCTGGTTTTAATATAACTTTGGTACGTTCAGTATTGACATGTAAAGCTCTTAATATCAATATTAAACGAGAAAATGCCTATAACAAATGTAATTATTATATAAATTTAAATATGAAATACAATGGATATTCTATTTTTACCGTGTAAGAAGAGATTGTTTTTAGCCAATCATCATACAAATTGAAAAGAACCATTTGAGGTTCAGTAGCTTTCAGTATAAGGTCACCAAACTTCTCCACCTTCAAACATGCTTGGAATGGAAGTTGTAACTCTGATCCTTTGATTACAATATTTGGGAAATCCAAAAGATGCACCTAAAATAAACAACATTTTTTTAAGTAAAAATGTGTCATATTAACCAAGATAAAAACATTTACCTCGAGAGGATCCAACATTCCTTTACGTGTAACAATAATTTGTTTAGGCTGTTCTTCAACAGGCAATGAACGAATCAAAGCTGCCACTTCTTCAGCTGTTTTCCATTTAGCTAACTAAAAAGTTAAAATTTTGATTTATAGGTTAAATAAATATTAAATAATAATATATTTTAATAAAATAATATTTACTTGTCCTAAACGTTTCTGACCAGCCCATACTGAGGTATGAATTATTTTCAAAAATAGTTGTCCAGTACGTGGATTAAATATGAAAATGGCTCCATTAATAGGCTTAGTAGTCAAATTTCCTTCAAAAGTTTTATGAATTGTTACTCTGTAGACATTTGTATCATCCACAAACCTTAAACCAAATAACATATAATATAATAGATGAGATAAAATAATAAAAAAAATTCAAAAAATTATTATTAATTCTTGTTGTTGATGTTAAACATAAGTATACAATTTATTGATAAATTATTATTAATAATATAAATTACCAAATAATTTGATTAGAAAACAGTTCACCGTAATTCTGACTTGATAAGTACGGTTCTGTAGGTTCAGAAGAATACAATTGTAAAGCTTTTCGAATACGTTCTCTCAAAACATATAGAGCAGGATTTGCTTTCATAATTTTAGCCATAGCTTGTTGAATTAAAGGCTTGCAACCAGGGAACCAATTTCCATAAGCACTAAAACAATAAAGTATGTATAAATAAAACATATTACACTTTTAATTTAATATAGATTAATAAATTATTGAGGGGATAAAAATCAATCCGTCAAAATAATACATATTACACATAATTACCTGTGTAAGTTGTATGCTAAATCAATTGCAATGAGTACACCAGTAGGTGATGGATAAATAGACATGTTATCAGTAGTATAATCCAGAAATTTGGCTCTCGCATAACGTTCAACATCGTGCGAGTCATAGTCACCCCATCTAAGTTGGACATCTAACCAATATTTTTGTGTAGTTGTGTTGTCCATTGTATCCCTAAAATAAATTGTGCAGATAATGTTAATAAAATTTTTTTTATATTTTTTAGTTAATTACTTTGAGTCGGCCAGAAGCGAGGGTCTTGAAACATTCCATTTATAAGCAGCAAAAAGTAAGATATCGGCACAAGACGAATTCATTTTGTATGATTTACGTGGATGAATGGTTTCTTTTTGAACAGTTTCAATTTCTAATGCATCAAGTTCTTGATCAAAAACCTACAAGGTTATACAAATATAAATTGCTAAGTTAAATACATTTTTTTAAGTGGTTTGGTAAAAAAATATACTAACTTGACAAAGATCCATAACAATAGATTCATGGACTTTTTGCCACAAATGAGCCCTGAAAATTTGAATCAGGGAAATTTTGAGAGTAGGAATTTTACCATGCATAAATATTCCAGTCAAATCAAGTTGAACTTGGAAACCAACATAAACATTAGCCCGGTTGATAGTTGGTGACCACCATAATGTAAAACGACGATTAGGTATTTGATTCAAACCAGAACGTTGAGCATTAGTCAATTTTTTATACTTCATCGATTCTTCAAAACCAGATGCCTTCTCCCTGAAAATAAATATATAATAATTATAATAAAAATTGCACAACAAAACTTAATATATTATAATTTTTTTACCAAAATAGACCTTCCCAAGTTGGGAAATAGGTTCCTTTGAATAAAGTATGTTCCAATATACCCTCAACACCTCCCAATGCTTGAATCATATCAGTTCGGTAATTGTTCAAATTCCATAATTTACCATCATGTCGTTGATGAGTCCACCAGAAGGGATTCTGTTTTAGAACCTGAATTGAAATAATGATATATAATATATTAATACTTATTATAATGTAATAATAATATATTATTTATTTTAATACAATTAATATAATTTACAATTTTAAGAATATATATAGCTCTAAATAAAATGTTTAAAAAATATTAAACTTTTTTTATTTAAATTATTTTTTTTATATATATTATTATCCCAGAACTATTATTACTATTAATATCTGCACTGCTTTCAGGATTTGTAATCGTTTATTAATATTTTACCTGGTACTGTTTGAATTCTGTTCTAATTCTCCAGCCTTTATCATAAGCTAATGTATGTCTGTCTTTTTGGAACAGAGTATTTATTCTAGGTATTCCACGGTCCCAACTATCTTCTAAATCTTCCAGGGTTAAACGTCTGAAATTACCAAACAAAAATAAATCAAAATACAAGCCAATTTTTATTTATATATTTCAGTTTTACCTGTTTTGTGCATTTGCTTCTTGCCTTTTTAAAGCATATTCAGCCCACACTCTTTGGGAATCAATAAATTCTGATTCCCATGGTTGAATATAACGATATAAATTTGGAATTAATTGATCTTCATCGTGACTCATACCTGAACGGAAATGAGTAATGCCAACATCTGTCTGTTTTGACCATCTTAAATCGGACTGAAAAAAAATTGCTTACGATCAATAAAATATTTTTTTAACTTTTTTAACTGTATTAATATTTACCTGAGGAATAAGAACATGACCCATAGACAACATTCCCAAACCACCAAGTTCTTTAGGTGTATAAAAAACCACAGGAGGGAATCTCGAAGGCATTTTAGAATTAAGACCAATTTTAATACGGGTTTGAATTTTATTTTCACATTTCACCAATAGATCCAAAAGTTCCTGAGTATTTACTACAGCCTCTCGGAAATAAGTCATAAGACCTATCAAAGCTGTATTCCATTTGTTAACAATCTATTATCAAAACTCAATTTTAGTTGTATGTTCGAACAAAATAATGATAACAATTTAGTTCAACCTTAGTAAATGTTGTTGATCCACTAGCCATTAAAATTTGACGAACACGATTGTGGAATCTTTGCAATGATTCATCATCAACTCTCAAAAATGATTGAGCTGTTCTTTCCTTAGTGATTTCATTTTGTAAATTCCATATACCATCTCTATGAGTAAGTTCATCGTGAATTGTTCGACACTAAAAATGATTTAATTTTAATTTAAGTATACATAATCATATTACGGCATCATATTTTAATCTTACTTTTGGTAGAATTCGGCATTCAAAACCACTCATATTAAACAACAAATTAGGATTATCTTTGGAATAAACGCTCACAAAACTATTTTCCCACTGAATGGTAGTTGTAGAACGGGGTAGTCTATTTTTAATGTCCCAGAATACAGCTCTCCCTCTGTTAAATTCAAAATTAATATTTAAAAATACAAATTAACTACTAACTTATTTATAATAACTTACAAGTTCACATCATGTTTCATTAAGCGCATCCTAGCATCACGAGGCCAACACTTTTTATTATTATAACCAACAATGTTCTCATTATTTGGATCTGGATGTTCTGTTAAATAGCGTTGAATAAGATCTTTTGCTTCTTCAGCAGTGAATCTATTAAAACAAAATTCGAATATATTTAAAGATAATTTTAATAGTTTATTGAAACTTTTATAAAATACCATAAATTGGTAAGTACTCATTAAGTATTTAAAGATAGTTTAATATTTATTTTCATTAATCCCAGTACTATAGTACAATATTAGAAATTTAAAAAAGAACTAGTATAAAGAATATTTCAATTAAAATTATGAAATTCAAAAAATTTTAAACACCTTTAGGGCCAGTTGTACCGAAAATAACTATGATTAATCTGAGTTTAATCGGCCGAATTTGCCCGTTTAAATATCTGTTTTCAGCTGATTAAGCTTAATCATAGTTTAATCGTAGAAGGTACAACTGGCCCTTAGTCTAAAATACAGCAAGACTGATAGGTTAGTAGTAAGTGGTATACCAGATACTTCTTATTCTTAAAAATATATGTTTGGCATAACTTTATCATTAATAAACAATGTTTTTTAAGAAAATTAAATTGTTGTCGTCATTACTTATTATAGTTTACTTTGCTTTTTAACAACTAACCTAAAAACTCAATCACAAGTATCTCAAAAAAGTAAACAAATTTACACCGCTTCATTAATCATAAATAAATACCTTAAAAATATGTGAACTCTATCAATATATCGACAATAAAGACGGACTGGATGAGCTATTTCAGTAACAACATCTTGGAAAGTTAAGAAATCATTTGGCATTTGAGGTGGTCCTGCCATTTCTGAGGATCTCTGTAATCCCAAAACTAGCAAATCCAAAACCAATCCATAATATTGAACAATAAACGATGAAAATTGTAAACCTCGAACTATACCATAACTATTAGTATGATTCATATCCTGTAATTTTGTAATTATTTAAAAACTTGTAAGAACATAATATAACACTTTTTGCCTTAAATTTAACAACAAACCTTATAATTAATTATAACATTGCTTTTAGCAGTCATATAATCAGCAATATTATGATCAACAATTAATCTTAACAATCTGTTTAGTAATGTTAAATCGATCTTTTCATAGATTTTTTCAAATTTGGATTCAAGTAATACGTTGCATTCACCTTCACTCACATCCCATACATCTTGTAAATTATTCACACCTAAATTAAATTAAGTGTTATTATAAGTGTAATTATTGAATAAAAAAAGTAATCATAATTATGTATAATAAATACAAAAAATAGCATATTATTTACCTTGACACCATTTATATACAAGTAAAGGTGGAGGTTCAGTATCGGAAGGTTTAATCCATGGTGGAAACAAACGTCGTTTATCCGCTTCATACCATAAATATTGATCCAAATATGCATCAGTTATTTTCTCTAATGGTTCAACATCATATACAGGTACTAGGTGAGAGTATAAATCCATAAACTCTATGCCAACCTGAACAATTTAGTTAATTAATTTAATTAGTACTATTAATCTTGGCAAACAGTCACATAAATGTTAATTATACATTATTTTACATTCGAAGTATGAAAAAAAAAATAATGATGACATAATTTTTATCCAATTTTGAGAGACTATTCTATTCAGTAAGAGAACACGTAATTACGATACACATAACATCAAAACACAGTGTACAAAAAAATTAAATGCATTGAATGAATACACTTATTTCACGGCAACCAACCAATAATTATAATAGCTTTAAAACCCAATGCAACCATTTATAAACAAAAATTTCCACCATAAATCTCTAAATCCCAGTTGAGCATATCCCCTGGTTGGACCTAGAGGGATGATTTGTGGATCTAAACCATCGGGGGCGTCACCCAGACGCATACAAAAAATTCATTCAAATCGGTCCCACCGTTTAGGAGGAGTACAATCACAACACACGTACAGTAGATAATATTGACAATAGTTATATATTGACAAAAATAATAATAGAAATCAACAAACATGCCCGATTAACCAATAGCAACCAATATAAAATACACTGTTGTATTTTTTTACATCCATATTTCCTACTTTTTCGGTGGATTTTCCTAAAATTTTCTTTTGTAAAAACCTTCTCCTGGCAATTACGAACATCTTAAAAAAATGTTGAGTCAAATCCATTTAGTTGCTCTCGAGATTCGCGCTTAGCAACACATTTAGCAATTCATTTTTATATAATAAGATAGGGTTTCCTGACACTTGGTTTTTAACTAACAATTATACAAATCATATGCTTTTATTCAACAATTTTTTCCTTATCAGATAGTATTGTTGGTTGTTCTTACAGTTTAAAATCCTATTTAAACTGAGTGACATAAACGCTGTATGTCACTCAGCTAAACATATAAAAGACAAATATTCATATTAGCAAGTCACTCTACGAACCATAGATTAGAACAGGCTGTAAATGATTGTGTGAAAGTCCGTTTCCGCAACTAACAATTTTAAACATTTAATTGATAGTTTATATGTATAGTTTAATACTTTAATAGATCACATAAAAATCAAAATTAACTAAGCGCCTTATTTAATGGCTTACTATTATTCATATGAGTCATAATATAATCATAAACAATTCAAATGTATAATAATATATTTCTAGGAGTATGACTGTAGAGCAGTGGTTCTCAACCGGTGTGCCGCGGCACACTAGTGTGCCGCGAGATTGTCTAGGTGTGCCGCGAAAAATGTTATTAAATATTGAAACAGTGTTTTTATTTCGTGACATTTATTTTATTTATTTTCGTGACATTATCAATTGACCAATTGTGTGCTAATTGTGCAGATAAGACGATACCGGATACATGTATAGGCGCGTGGCGATAACTAATGTCTTCGGCGAATTTATCGAAGTTGTTGTGGTTGTCAAGTGCGTGAGTGTGCCGTTAAAACTTGTGGTGTATAATAGTGTGCCGTGAACTAAAAAAGGTTGAGAACCACTGCTGTAGAGCCTCAATCGCAGCAGGGTAGTAATAGTGTTATTTAATTTTAAATAATTTAAAATGTAGTAAATAAAGGGGGGGGGGGGTGTAACCAATTAAAAACATTTAAGTGTATACTCACTAAAAAAATTACGACTACATCACTGCATATACCATTAAGTTTACTGACATACTACATCTTCTTCTCAAGATATAATCATTTCTATTATATAGATATCATTTTTTAATGTTAGACAAACACACTTCATTTTTGTTGATCTAATAATATAATATAATATAATAGCAGAATTTATTCAGTTCAGATGTATAGTTTTGTCCAAACAACATTTACAATAACAGATCACTGACCACGTTAAAAATAAATGTTATCTGTCTGTATTCATTAATACAGATATCAGACCCCTGTGCTAATCATCATAACAAAATACTTTTAAAATTATGCTCAGTTGGGCGCATTTTCCTATTGATTTCAAAATTGACACATCACGGACGTAATCTATTTAAGATACAATAGTTGGGCATCATTCTGCATCCAATATCAGAGCCCCTACGCAATTCATCATTACTTATTAAATAATAAATACAGTCATATATTACATTATTTAACTAGGTATATTTAGCAAAATGTGTAGTTATTATATAACTTGTTTTAACTCGGTAATATATACCATTAAGATAACTTTTGTACGATATATTTTTATTAATTTATATCATACAATTTATTAGACGTAATCTGTTGTCTTCATCTTACAAGTGCGTTACATAGGAAATTTTACGCCCAGCAGATCACGTTTAACTCTGTTGGTTTAAAAATTAGAGAGAGTTGACTTCTTAAAAAATTTAAAGGTATGATTATTATCGAGGCAATCTCATAGGATTTAACTATTTTTATTTTTAAAGTGTGTTATGAGTATTAAAACATTAGCTTTAAAATTAAAATATAATAAAAAGCTTGAGGTTGCCTAGATAATAATCTTAAATTAAAATTGTATAAGAAGTCAAATTACTCTAATTTTTAAACTAACGGAGCTATACTTGATCTGCTAAGCGTAAAGTCTGCTATGTTAAGCACTTGTAAGAGGAAGAAAAAACATGCGGGTACCATGGCCTCTTAAGAACTTTTTTTTACATTAGGTATACATTTAATTAGTAATTTAATGATACAATATTAAAATAGATTGAAATATTGATTTATGTATTTGTTCAGGAATAAAATGTTGTCCAAACAACATTTACAATAACAGATCACTGACCACGTTAAAAATAAATGTTATCTGTCTGTATTCATTAATACAGATATCAGACCCCTGTGCTAATCATCATAACAAAATACTAAAATATGCTCAGTTGGGCGCATTTTCCTATTGGGTTCAAAATAGACACATCACGGACGTAATCTATAATAAATACAATAGTTGGGCATCATTCTGCATCCAATATCAGAGCCCCTACGCAATTCATCAATGCTTATTCAATACTATTATATGCTATTATTAAAGGTTTGATTTAAAAGATGTTTGTAATTTCTGTAGCATAGTTCATTTTACATTTCATATTACTATTGGAAGAGTATTAATTAAGCTTCTACAAGTTCACAATCATTTTTTTATATTTATTTTAATGTAAACTTATTGAAAAGTTAAAAGGTATATATATTTATTCAACGTGTTTGCGATGGTACTACACTTCTTCGGATAAAGCTTATATTACAGGTAATGACACCACCAGTAGATTGCATACTATAAGTTAGCCATAATATTATGATCTGTACCATTTTTAAGGATGTACAAATTATGAAATCATATCAGTCAATAACTATCAATTAAACTTAAATTTAACTCCACTGTCTTAAAAATATAATATTAATTGAATTACTTGATGGAACTTTAATGAAATTACTTACTTCTTTAAATGTCCTTTGAGTCAATAAATGACGTTTTATCCTTGAAAGTGCTTCATGAGGATTATCATAAGCCTGTTCAATTAATCCTAATTCTTCTCTTTGACTTTGATTCAAACGTGACTTTACACTATAAAAAATATTTTATAATGTAGAATATAATAAGTTTACTATTGGTTGTCAATATTCATAGTAGTTTTTCTATTATCTATTATATCTACAAAACTTTATCATTACCTGTATGCCTCTTTTAAACGTTCAAGAGCTAAAATTAATAATTTTGTATCGTGTTTGTACGAAAGAGGAGGAAATGGAATTGGAGCAAATCGTCGAGATTCTAACCAATGAACAGTTGTCGTGTAAATAGCTACAGCTTCTTCGGGGGAAATGTAAGGTCCATCCTAAAGCATAATATGATATGAATAAATTTATAAATTTATAAATAAATCAAGAAATCATACTTTAAGATAATTGTGCTGCCGTTCTTGTTCTGCTTTTAAGTATAATCTAGTTAAACGACCTAAATTCTTTTTACACACAGTCTTATCAACTGTAGCTCCTCTACGGATACGTTCTCTGTTATAATGTGCTGTATTTGTCCACCAATCGGCTTTCATTTTTACATATCGAAGAATCATATTCTCAATTGGAGTTGGTAATCCAGGAACCTGAAAAAAAATAATAAATACAATAAAGCATAAAATTAATTACACATCGTGGAAAAATTATGTTACCTTCCACGGAATATTAGCTTTCCAACATCTCCATGCTTCAGATAAATGCTGCAAAATTGTTCTAGCCTTATTTTGTTTAATACCTTCTGGCATCATATCTACAATATCATGCAATGACCTAAATAATAAAATATTATTTAGAATAATTCAAGCTAAAATTAAAAAAAAAAAATAATAATAATAATTAAATAATTACAGAAGCACGAAGTTCTAAATCAAAATGACTCTCAACACGTTGTTTAGTAACAGTTTTAGCAACTCCTTTTGAATGCCTTCCTTCAAATTGACGAGATAGTAAATTACCTAACCACCTTTCCAGTAATGGTGTTATACCTCGCATAAAAAACAACCAAACACGCCAACCTGGTGCCCAAAATCCACAACCTGGACCTTTGCCCACTGGTCCCTAAAATATAACAATATTTAATATATATAAATGTAAAGCTGCTTCATAAAATAATATCATTATAACTTGATACAATAACTCACGTATTAAACCGATAGTAAATAGAGTGTTTAAATCTTTGCACATACGTATTTGTCTCATAAGTTTGTATTTATAACGATACATGCCAGTCAGTTGTCCAACATGCGCAAATACATATTGTAATCCATCAGCTAATTGAAATGCATCAATATTGTTTAATCTGTATTGTACATGGGAATCAATGATCAATTTTGTCAACGAAGAATTCGCGACACAGATGAAAGCTAACAAAATAAATAAATACATTTAATCGCACATAAGTTATAAAATATTTTAATGATAACATACCATTTCCAAAACGAGATTTTTTCCTTTCTTTGGTTGTAAGCGTTTTTTACAGGTTTACAAATAAAATTAGAATCCAGATGCAAGTAGTTAAGATTTTTACGATGAATTAAAAGGTTTAGCATATTATATCCTTGCCTGCATACCTGTAACCAGCTTCCACCCAATCTAATGTAGTAGTTGGAAAACTTAGTAAATTTAAATGATCGGAATAAATATCTAAAAATAACATTAAAAATAACAATTATTGGTTTAATATGAAATATAAATTTAAAAAAATAATAAATGTTTTAATACAAACCTTTTTTTCTGTGGTTTAGGGGGTCGATGTTTCAAAGCATTTAATACATAATATTTTAAAAGTTTTTGATAGCTAACACGAACTTTAACAGGTTGCCCTGGTGGACAATGTTCTCTGTACCAACTCTTAACTAAAGGTACATCAATAGCTCTTCTACAACGGCCTACAATCATAAAATATACATAGATTATATATATTATAATATAACAGTTAAAAATATTAATGATTACAAAGAAAATATTCTAACCAGAGCGCATATTAAATGGTCTAGGAGCCCATAACAATGCGATTCCATTTGCTGTGTTGTCAGTGTAAACAGGAGTTTCTTGTAAAAATGGTTGAACTTCTGGTGGTAGTTCAAATTCTTCATCATCATCAAAAATAGGTTCGCTAACCTACAAATAATATAACAGTCTATGTTTATTAACAGATAGTATGGTGTTAATAAGACAAGTACAATTTTTATCTTTTCGGCTAAGCAAAGCAATAACAATTTGATAGTAAAAGTGCCAAATTAAAATGAAAACTCAATAATCCAGTTCTTAAGCGTCTGAAACCATACGACTTAGTTTAAGATTTTAGATTAAGACAGGTAGCACTTCATTGGAAGTGACTCCATCAACATGTAATATATATATAATTTATATCTAGTATGTAAAATATGTATTATGTCAAACATATTTATAAAGACCTTTGGGTCGTTTAAATAATATAATGCCTTAGGTCAGTGGAAAAAAAAAAAATTAAGTTCATAAAACAGGAGAACGGGGTGACCTGATAAATCAATATTTTTAAAGTAAAACTTCCTTATAGGTAATTTTAAAAGGCATCAGGAAAATTGAGATTTTAATGCAAAACCAAATTTTTAAAAAAATAAATGTTTTAGTGAACTCTAAAAATAAACATAATTTAAGACATTTTCACAGAATGCTTGTATTAGAATTTTCTATGCATCATACAGTTTTTAAATATTGCAATTCTTTTTGAGCTATTTATTGGGATAACAATACTTTGTAATTTACATAGTTTTTTTGTAATTATGGTCTATAAAAAAAAAAAAATAGTAGGTAATATGTATCAAAATGTTTATATTAACTTTTTTAATTGTACCTATACCACTATTTACATTTTGAAATTTGTTTTAAAAAAATTAAGGCTGTGTAGAGTGGATAATACACATAATTTCTACAAGAATAAAAATTAAATAAATACCTTGACGGAATGTCTGTGTGATATAGGATTTATCAAGGGGTCAAAATAAAATGCTGGCAAGTCTGGATCTTCAGTTTTAATGTACACAACATTTGGAGCATGATACCTGAAAATGAATACAATAATCTTACTAATTTTCCAAGAACACATACAAAATACTGTGGTATTTAAAAAGAAACATTTTAATATATTAACACCACATTTTAATGATATTTATTATTTAATAGTTATATCAATAATAAAATAAACATTTTATGGTGTTAAAAATTTATCATTTTAATAGCATAACACAACAATCAAATATAATTATAAAATGGTATGTATAATGATCAATTTTTATTTTTGATACCCAGAGGGATTATTATTTAATGGGATCTCAAAAATCTTTTAACTAACTAATATTAACTTATTAAATAAATATAATACTTAAAAATCAGCCATTAACACTTTCATTACTCCAGACGTACTATTACATCCCTGTATTTTATAATATTCTCATTTTCCGGTATCCATACAAGTTTTGGAAACCATGGATTGCATTATTTTAAACTTAAATAATTAGAAAAATATAGATCTCAAAATTTAACCTTTAAACATTTTTATTTTACGTAGCATACACTGGTTGAAGTGGATAAATAGTGTAGCGGTGAATGTTATTTGTTCAGATATATAGTTTTGTCCAAACAACATTTACAATAACAGATCACTGACCACGTTAAAAATAAATGCTATCTGTCTGTATTCATTAATACAGATATCAGACCCCTGTGCTAATCATCATAACAAAATACTTTTAAAAATATGCTCAGTTGGGCGCATATTCCTATTGGTTTTAATATAGACACATCACGGACGAAATCTATAATAAATACAATAGTTGGGCATCATTCTGCATCCAATATCAGAGCCCCTACGCAATTCATCATTGCTTATTAATTACATTAATTAAGGTGAAGTTAAATAACTTATTTTATCTCAGTGATAAACAATGAAACTTCAATATTACAAAATCTCATTAGGAACAAAAACAATTTGTAATATAGAGAATTTTGTTAAATAGAATTAAATTAATTTTTGTTGTGATTTGGTACTCAAAAATATTTTGTTAAATGAAAGTTTCACTGTAAACCTTAAAGATTACTGCTGTATTATATTATATTCTTAATAATTTATACCATACAGGTATCTTGAAATTAATATTACTCATTAAGAACTTTTTTTTACATTTGGTATACATTTAATTTTGTAATTTTAATGATACAATATTAAAATAGATTGAAATATTGATTTATGTATTTGTTCAGGAATAAAATGTTGTCGAAACAACATTTACAATAACAGATCACTGACCACGTTAAAAATAAATGCTATCTGTCTGTATTCATTAATACAGATATCAGACCCCTGTGCTAATCATCATAACAAAATACTTTTAAAAATATGCTCAGTTGGGCGCATTTTCCTATTGGGTTCAAAATAGACACATCACGGACGTAATCTATTTAAAATACAATAGTTGGGCATCATTCTGCATCCAATATCAGAGCCCCTACGCAATTCATCACAGCTTTTGAAATACCCACTTACAAAATTATTTTTTATGTTGTTAATATACATTCAGATAAATTGGGTATTGATAAATTATTTTAATACAAGCTATATTTTTTTTTATCAATTAATAAAATTAAATCCAAATATTCAGTTTTTGAGATGTTAATAACTATTAAGTATTAAGTGGACACATATTGTATAATATTAGTGTAATAATATAGGTTAGGGTATTATAATATATATATTATATTACATTATTATAATATATAATATTGTATTATAATATTATTTATTAATAGACCATGACAAATATGCAGGCCTCTTTAATGCTGATAAAGCATTCTTTTAAATATTAAATAAATTGTTCATAACTATCAGCGCTAAATTAGATTATCTTTTATCTAGCTTGCTACAACGATTAAGAAATTTAATATTACACACATTAGTAAAAACAACAAATATTTTTATGAAGTTTTCAAAACTTGTGTGTTGATTTTTAAAATGTTAAAAACAAAATTTTGCTATCAAAATATATTATGTTTATAAAAATAAATTATACTTAATTAAAAACGCTCACCAAGATAAATGAACATAATGAGGAAGATTATTGTATAAATATGGAAATGCAATTCTGTATTCAGTTCTTACAGGTTGTCTTATGATAATTTTATTGATATCATTAAATTCATTCCAATCTTCATCACGGACAAAACTAAAAAATAAATAATTTTGAAAATATAGTTAAAATACACACATAAAAGTTAACAACTTACGATGGATTTGAATCCTTGATAAGTGGTTCAAATTTCGGTCCACCAGGAATAGCCATGTTTAATGCTTTAGCAGTAAAGAATGACTTTGGGTCGAATAAATAAAAGTAATTGTCATCAACAAGATCAGTTAAAAGTTGATTAGCTAATCTATATAATGTAGCCATCTGCGGTAAAGTTAAATTCCATTTACGATATGTAGATCCGTTTACATGCCTAAAAAAAATATAAAATCAACTCATTAAATACAAATATTAACCACAAATAAGAAAGGCAGATGAGATTAGGTAACATATTATGTTTTTATATATTAATATTATTGTTTAAAATACCTTGTGTTAACAAGTGGTTTATGATCATAAAACCATTTAGCAACAGCGGCATCTTCTTCTGTATCCAAGTCAATCTGAATAGCTTCCAAAGGTTCAACATCTAACACATTATCGGCATAATCTAAGGGTGGCTCTTCATCATCAAATGGAGGAAAACG